TTTTAGCGTAGTTAATCACATCGTTACTGCAATTACAGAATTAAACTAAAGCTGAAAGCTCACATAAACCATATCAGGCATAATGAAAATTGAGTTGTACAACTATTTTTTGGAAACAGAACGTAAACTAACAAATAACACGCAAAACCATAAAAACGAGGCAATGTTTACAACCCTGCTTGAACATCTGTCTGAGCAGCTGCAGAAACTGGAGTTATTTCTTATTGGGTATTGTTAAGAGTTAATGTAACCAATGACATTAAACAACATGATGCGCAACTCCGGCATTTTTGTCCGAAGATCGTATTCGATAGCACGCTCCAATGCACATACTTGACGAGACGAAAACGAGCGGATGTGTGCTGCTTTCAAGGCGTAGCACGAATGGTGTTCGTGCCTGCTTTGACAGTTGTTGTCGATTTTAATGATATTTTTGAAAGTTGGGGTAAAAAGAAATCGGTAAAAGGTAAGGTGAATACTATTGTTGTATATCACACCCGGGCATCGCACTGTTAAGTACATGTGGGGAAAGCCAGCCTTTGTCAAATACTACGAAGTTATTAATTCAGTACGGTACGTAGTTGCCCATTTGCCGAAATTACATATTTACTTACCCCTTATGGTTTCAAATAGTTCATGCACCTCCAGTTAGATTTTTTTAATCAGTGAGGATATATACTCATTGTTGATTGCTGCTCATTGTAACATACTATTACGCATTCACTTTTATTTGCGTATTGAATCAAAGTGTTAACAAGTTCACCTAACATTTCACTCATACCGGTCTATATTGTATAGTCTGATTTCTCAAGTATTTGGAGCCACGAATGCTTGTAATTTTGTAACTGACTAAACCCTTTTATTAGTTGGTTTATATACCAAATTCAGTAAAATATTTTTTAAATAAAACATGAGATATTGGATTTATTAGCTTTTCCATTCTGAATCATATAGACTGCTTTATTTATTCTTAACGAAAATTAATAAATCTCCTCTCTTTCTTCAGATGTGAAAGTTGTGGACACACCTGTCTAAGCATTGTGAGACTCTTGCAGCACAAGAGGCAATAGCAGAAATAGTAAGTATATCAATCAAGAAATTAAGCCGACATAAAGCAAAACTTTCAACTATTCGTCTAATCTCAATTTCCTATTATTTATTCACAGGACAACTATAGCAGACGGGGAGATATCAGAAGTCTGGCGACATATCAGTGACAGTGTGATTCCAAGAAATATAATGCAATTGAAAATAGAAAATTGCAATAGAAAAACAACCTATGGAGGCATGCAAAGACATTTGACCCTCCGGTAGAGTTGTGTATGGCCCCCACATCCTGCAGGGCTTGGGGAAAATAACTAAAAATTCCAAAGCGTAAGATTGCATAAGCGGTCTTATTTGTAAAAAGGCACAAAACACGCCAGACATACTTAAAACAGCTTTGGAAATGAGGATTACGGGTACCTCACTGCACCTGTGTTATATTTGGTTCATCAACTTTTGGTAGTACTATAGAAGAAATTCCGGAAGGGGTATAATCATCATTCATGATAAAATACTATCATATATTTTTTGAACAACTTCAATCTAGACCAGGGTCTCAAACTCGCGGTCCCAGAGAACTTCCAGTGCGGCCCTCGAACGCTTAACAATAATTGTAATAGTATTTTTGAAGTTTTTTTTTTTATCTAAATGTAATAGATTTTTCAAACCTTCTAAAGTGAAATTGATTATTCACACAGAAAACAATTTACTGAAAGTAGTTTTGGAATATCAATTTTTTTGTCCACATTTTGACCCAATTAAGAATACACATCAAGCTAGCAAAAGAATACTTGAATAAAACACTTGAGTAATTAAATTAAACGCAAAGTACATGAAGAAGGTGGCATTTTCGAAGAAAATGGGAGTTGTAACATTTCTGCTCTTCACAAAATTCTGAAGCACATTGTTTAATTTGTCATATTTCCGTCAATACAATCAAAAAACACAATAAGCTCAGCAGTCAATATGACAAATTCGAAGACCAACTTCGAACAGAAAATTTCCATGTGTTTGTATATTAATATAATTTGTACAACGACTTAGTTACTAAAAATCAATATCAATAATAATTCAAGCAATCCTATGCCACGCAATGTAGTGCGAAATGTCTTGTCGAAAAAATCTGTCATTTGTTTTTTTACTGATCTATACATGAAATGATAAAAGTAACTTTTTTGCATTACTGGAATTAATTAAACATTCGTAAAGATCCAGATAAACCCATGATCATGTGGCCTCGTTAGTTAGAGTTGGTACTATAAAATCATTTCAGACTGGCCTTAGTATGCTGGTGACACAAAAAAGATGCCAAACGCCAGGACAAATGTAATTATTAAAACATTGAGTTTATACTGTAGTATTTTTGTTAATTTTAGGTTCATATATTTAGATTAAGTTATTTTTAGTGTATGTATTATTCTTTCCTTATTCAAAGCTTGTTCAAAAATGATTTTGATGGTTGTACATAGAATTTTACGATTTTTTATAATAAATACTGTAACTTGCAAATGTTGCAATAATAGTGGAATGCAAATATTAATATGTAATTGCATTTGAAATTGAAGAAAATAATAAAACTTAATCCAACTGTTTAGTTGCATCACAATATATGTCACAAACTAAAACTATCTTAAAAATATCTTTTAAGTATACATTATCAAAAACTGTTTGCGGCTCTTTTTACAATTTTCAAAATGCAATGCGGCTCTCGAAAACCCATGAGTTTGACACCACTGATCTATTCTAGACGATTCAAGCATTGCTTTGGGAAATTATATCACTGCAATTAAATTGAAATAATCTCGCTATATTAAATACAAAATCGTTGCTATCATAAAGGTAAACCAATTCAGCCACTCGAAATATATTGGCCTTCACAAAGCAATGGAGGCAAAATTGAGAGTTCATGAGCTATGAACATTTGTTCTTTTCTTTGTCTTGAACTTTCCATACTCCACAGCCCCTATTAATTTTTTTTAATTTTAATTACCATGTGATGGTCATACATATCTTTAACTTGTATTTTCTGTCATGATGTATTATCTCAATGTGCCAAACTATTAATTAGTGTGCATATTCTGCTTCCAGATGACATAAATGTATTGTCATGTTTATTACCTCAGCTTGGAGTATTGACAAGAAAAAGGTGCCAGTAAATTAGGTAAAAAAATTTTCAACTCATTGTTATAATCAGAATTCACAATCAATAGGAATTATAAACAGCCAACAATCAGTGAGAATTATATGCGAAATTCCTCAGAATAAATTTGTCTAAAATCGGAGGAAGGCAAAAAATATAGGTAGTTTCCATCCACACAAGCATTTCAAGAAGACTTGCTCGAGCCAAACTAAATGAGCATCGTCAGGTGATCGGTAAGGCTGCAAGTTGAATTCAGCCCTGCAACCTCCTGCATAGAAGATAATATTAATTAGTGGGCTATGAGCTAAATTCCTAAATTTAAACAAACCTATCTACGATGCATTATGTACCAGCAATGTTACCTACGATTAACTGAATATGTAATATGTCTAATAAATTCACCTACAAAAGCAAGTTCGATAGGTGCAAACTTTGTGTTATGGAATTGTATCGCAGCACAGTTTTGTATGACACCCTCTTTAAATGAAATTTCAATGATTAAGCGCAAACATTAAAATTACTAACTTTGAACTTTGTCATTATCTGCAAAATGTTCCACACAAATCTTTCCGCTATCGCGTTTGTAATCTTCTCTGATAAAAAAAACGTCTATGATGTCCAGAATTGCTCTTTACAGCTTGCCTGTTATTCCAGCTTTCCAGGTAAGCAAAACTTCTTAGATATAGAGATTATTTTGTTTCGTTACAGGCGCAAAAAGGCAGGTACTACACGTAAAAAAGACGCCGAGTAGCAAAAGCGAGCGGAAAACGGACGCGAAAGGCGACGAGAAATATGTGCATTGGAGCGTATCATGAAATACAATGTTTTGCCTGTAGTCTTATGGAGTGACGTCAGAGTTGCCTATCATGTTGTTTAATGTCATTGATGTAACAAACGAGAAAATCGATGCTCCAGGGAATCCTAAGTAGCTAAGTAATAGGCTACAGGTAGCCTAATAGGCTATTGTTCAGTTGTTACACACTAAATATTGTATTCCATATGATTTTATTAATAGACACTAGAATAGACTTGAAAAAAGCCAAAAAAACGCCAAAAAGCCAAACGGAAATTCTGACGCCAAACGCGTTTGAAAAAAGCCAAAAATGGCAAATTTGGCGTTAAAATAGCCAATATGGCAACCCTGATATCGCGTTGAAAGAATTCCATGACGCATCACTCAAGCGTAACGAGAGAACCGTGTAACATAAATAAACAAAGACGAAAACAGCGTGAGCGAACTATAAGGTGTCATCGTGCTGTGCCTTGGCAAGCTGTATGACGTAATTGTGACGCACAAATGACATAATTTTTGGATGTCGTAGCCAAGTGTGGGTTGGGATCGGTACGGTACATGCATAAATTGTTACGTCACGCATTACAGTACGGAACTTGCAGTGTACCGGTTGGTCCTACATTCCAAGCAAAACGTTCAAATCACGAGTGTTGCAGCACAACTTTTTTTGTTTCCAGTTTTCTGTCGCCGTCAATGAGTAAACGGTACCGTACCGGTACCGGTAGTTTTTTCCATTCAAAACAGCTGGTACCGGTACTAGATTATATGGCACTTAATACTGTCATACAAAAAGTTGAATATTACCGGTAACTCACCTTTGTAGTTTGTATACGGTGTCTAGTGTTGAGGTGGTACGGTACGGTAACGTACTGGTACCGGTACCGTACCTTACGGTATCGCTTACAGACATGTACCGGTACTGGTTTGTGGTCTGCGGTACCGGTACCGTAACTATGATTATTCAGGTCTGAGTGCTGCAGTGTAGTTTCGTACCTAAACTTTAGGCTAAAGTACTTTTTATTTTATTTCCAGTGGCCGTAGCATAAAGTTATTTAAGATATCAAGATGCCGTTTGAAAACTTCGGACGAGACACTCGTCGATTTGTGTACACATCATCAAGAATAATCATCACTCGTTTCCCTTTCTGGGAAGCATTCAGTACTGCCATGTTACTGGGAGAGTTGGATGGGAGGGGAAGGTAAAGTAATTCATTTCAATTTTATTTAATCATTTTAACTCCCCACGCGACTTGTGAAATGAAAAACTGAAATAGCAATATTAAACTTATTAAAAAAAAATTTCTATGCTACTGTGCTATGCTCGCATATGACATTCGCTCTAAACAAGGCCATGTACAGGCAGCCACTGATATGCTTCGACATGTACGGGTCTATTATAATTACTTAAATCATTCAGCATTTCTATTGAGTCTATATTTTACAGTCAATATACTGATATAGCTAGACTACATTAACATTGTGCCATGTTCATTATTACAATTTATTCATTCACTTTTAAGGTTGCACCATGTTCCTGACTATGCGATTTATGCTCACATTGGAGTCTGCATTATACTTGGAAGTCTGATGAGTTTTGATGAAGGAAAAAGAAGATTTGCTTCTCAGCTTTCAGCTGCTCAGGTAAAACCTGAGTAATTTATTTACTTAGTTTGATGGTTCTCCAATTCACCTGCTTTGGAATAGGAATTTTAAATGTCTCTAAGATCTAACACGTTTTAGTTAAAACAACAATTTGGTACACATCAGTGTTGTGATGGATCAATCTTTTATTTGGCTACCGCAGACAGCCTCAATCATGAGCAATGGAACTTCCACATTTCTCCTTGTATAATACTCACCAATAATACGCAGACCACGTATTTTAGCACCTGGATCACTATAGATTTTTCGTTTATGTATGTGTGTGTGTGTGCCGTAATAAGTTTTAATACTTTTTTAATACTACGAACATGTACTACTTCTTTTATCAATACCTTCCCCCTAAAATCTGTACTCTTTAATCAAACCTTACTTGAGGTTTTGTTTGCTTTCCGGTTTCTATAATCAGTTTTATTTATTTTGTTTTTATCAATTATTTTATCGTCTATTGCTGATTATGGAGTCGAAATAAACTTATACTTATCTCTTGCGTTGCGGGTGATTTTAATCTTGCATAGGGGTTTCAAACATTCTGTCTGCTTTTTATCAACTATCTCTCTGACTTATTATATTATTTAATTATTTGCCGCCCATCGTTAAGCATAACGTAATATGGAATAATAATTTTTGATATTATCTGTGTCTTACTTAGTCTGAAGGCGAAATTTCAACTTGGAAATGTCTATTATGAATAATAAATGAGTTCCAAGTAAAGTCTGCTACCTACCCCAGGGTTACATGACCCATTGAGGGTCTCATGTTTCATGTATCCCCTATAAGTATTTTTACGTATTTGCATAGTACAACAAACAGTGTAAATCTGCAAATCAACTACATTTTTACAAGAATGAGAAGGCTAAGTAATTCATGACAAACCTGGAGTCTTATTTTTCTATTAACAAGGGTCATAGTCTGGTGACAACACCATATGACAGGATTGTTATTTATTGTTCCAGATGGCATTTGTTGCCTTCGCATCGTTTGGAATTTGGAATAGAACTAGCCAAATGATGGCGCTAAAGATTGTTAGCAGATATCTCGGCGTAATGGCATCATATCTACTGCTATCTGGTGGATTTGCTGACATGAAAGCTTCCCATAGAAGATTTGCACAGCTTGGTGAGTATATCACTTACTAATATTTGAAATAAGGCAATGACTGAGAGTGTGAGAGTGATAAAATGGAATTTTGTGACAACAACTCGTCATATTTTATAGATGTAAGCCAAATGGGCCTGTGCACTGGCAGCTCAATATGGTTATTAGATAAAATATCCTTTATGGCATAGTTATACAAATGCTATAAATAAGGAAAATTGATTACCGTAATAAAGTGTAACTTCAAAATTATCCGCTGCAAATACATATATGAATATATTGATTGGAATTAAGAGCAATCATTAGTAAAATCAGTCAAGCTATTTATGGTATGAAATAGGGATGGGCAATGTAGAATAATTTACTATTCTAGAGTATTCTAGAATAGTTAAATCGAATCCAGAATACCGAATCCTATTCTATTTTCATACTTATTCAAATAGTGGGAATTTCTACATTGCTGGATTTAGATGGTAAAAAATTGCAAATGTATTACTCACTATAAATGTATTATCTATTTGGAAATGTCCTGAACATTGGATTTCATTTGATACTAAACAGGCATTTCCCAGGACAATAAAATTTAGAAATATTACAATATTTTTTGCCCTCAATTGTTCCAAATGTATGTAATCCCTAAATACTAATAAATACTGATATGCTAAATTGAGACACGCTTCACACACTTTAATAGTAAGTGGTTAAATAAAAAATAGACATGAAACGGCGTTAAATCATTATTAATGTAAGTCTGCCGAGTATACTACAACATACCCGCTGAGAATTAATTAGATGCTGAACCAGCGTGTGGCCACTGCAACCTATGCGCCGTTGTAAAATATTAAATTTAACCACTATCAAATAAAATCAACCTTTTATTCTGTGAGAGCAAGACACGTAAAACCAAGTTCCCGTAAACGCGATTTCGTACTTAGTTATTAGGTGATAACATCTGAAGACGAACTCATCTTCTATGATTATCGTTACATATCATTATCTACCCAGACTTGGCCCTACTCAAATTCAATACGTCACTATCTTCGCCAGATGCGGCAACTTTTTTCAAAATTCATCGGTGACTAAAATACTACAGAGTCCGATCAAACGTGCGTCTGTATTGAATGATAGAAATGTTATCATTAATCATTATCTACCCAGACTTAGCCCTACCCAAATTCAATATGTCACTATCTTCGCCAGATGCGGCAACTTTTTTCATAATTTATCGGCGACTAAAATACTACAGACACTCGATCAAACGTGCGCCTATCTTGAACGATAGAAACGGACCGAAAAATATGTAATCTTTTGGGAGTGAAATTTAAATGTGACAGTAGTTCGCGTTTTGCGATATAACTTTGTATTTCGGGAAATGGTATAATAAAATTATTCTATATTGCCCATCCCTAGTATGAAAGAAACATATAAATGTACAACTTTATCATCAAAACTAAATTCAAAAAAATTTGTGATATTTAAGCATTAGTTTTAAGATTGACAATTGACAAATTTGTTTTAGGCAACTTCACCGTAGGAATGTGTCTGATATCTGAAGCTTACCTGCTTTATTCATGGCCTACAGAGAGGGCAAAGGTCATGAGTTTGCTGCCATCACAATTGATAAATTTTGAAGAAATCATCGTCATTGTGTATTGGTATGTTTTATTAATGATTCTTTAATATAACTAAAGCCACATATGCCAAACCATCCCAACTTGATTGGAATTGGCCAGGGCATAAATTTCGACTCTAAAGATTCAACCGCAGCTCAGACTCCACATTCCTAGTTTCTCTATAAAGCTTACATAATAATATTATATTAATCGTTGTTCATTCATACCACATAGTCTAGGGCCGATGGGGGGCTATCGAGAATCATCGTCCCATTCCCAAGTCTGTATGTGGAGATGGCAGGCCCACTGGCAACCCGGGTATATAGTGTGACATAGCTATCCAAGATTTTCTTTCTGAACATGGTCTTATATAAGCAGTCACTGATACCTAACAATATGAAAGAAGCTACCAATATTTTTCAAGATCTGGAATCTTTCTGGTTTGGCCTTACCTACCCAATTTACTGTACCCTTGGTGAGGTGGGGGGCATGGGATTTGGGACTCAAGATGAGTAGACTGCTGTCCAACACAGGTCAATCTAATGTCAAAGGCTATTGTGCCACAATTATCATGTTGTAAATTTTTTTTCTTATTTACAGTGCTCTCTTTTGCCTCTGTGCGTTCTGCTTCATGTCTGGATCAAATCTCAACTCTGGTTCAAAGTGTGCTCTTGCTTTATGGTTCCTAGTTGTACTAGCTAACCTAGATTACAAGTACTGGGCAAACTATGTGGAATTGTGGACGCAGTTCCGCATCATTGCTGCTGATATTTGTTTCACTTCATTATTGGCAGTGAACTATGTCATGAGATCGTAATTTGACAAATGAATATCCCAAGTTTTTTTTGCCAGAATTTCCAATGCATGTTCACCATGCAGAAAGTCTTAAAAAACAGGGCTTCATAAACTGCTAATTTGCAGATGACCTTAGAAACAATGCTTCATACCTGCCAATTTACAAATGTCCTTGAAAAACAGGGCTTCATAACTGCTAATTCACTTACATTTAAGCAGTATTTTAGTGTCACCTGAACTGCCATCGCTTTCTTCAAATTTTTGAAAATTTAAGCAGTGATTAGGGCCAAGAATCATGAATTTCGATTTTTTAGAATTTTCCATGGTATTGGTTAGAAATATAGAAAACAATTTGAACATTGTAATCAAGACCTATATAAATTATATTTTTCAAAAATGATTTGAAAAACAATTTGGACCATTATAAAGTTTCACATTATGAAATAAATGCCCTCAATTAATTTAATGAAACTTGATGAGATTTTTGGAACCTTATAATTTGTGCCTATATCAGGAAATGTATAAAACGGTACTTAACAATGAATATGCATATTTTCGTCATTACATATAGAATGATTAAAAAAATTAATGAGGTGTGAGTGTGCATTTAATTATTGAATGTCAAAAGTCTGACAGAAGTGGTATGTCCTAAACAAATTATGGAGTTGAATTATGGATATTATCTTATAATAAACAAACAATTCTTAAAAAAGTTTTCTACATATATGTATCAGACGTCAAATGGTCTGTCTCAATTCCTATTATCCTTTTCTATTCCGAGCCCAGCACCATTTTATAATTGCCATGGAAGAATAATTTAGCTTGAAATAATAAATAATTGATGTCCTAACTACCATTATCACATTGCACCATTCATCCATCTTTTTGTAAATCCTATATAATTCAGTTATCATGTTTACTGACATTTTTTCTTGTTTCACATTTTATACTCAGTTTTTATACCTGCAATAGCTATGCTTTACTAACAACTTTAGATGAGTTTTTACACCAAAACCTTTTCTTCAAAATATTATGCATGAGTAATAGAAATTGCATTTTTCTAAAATAAACTGACTAATTGGAATGTTGTGTTTGTGTTCAGAAGCTTGAACTTGATTTTGGAAACAGGTCCTCGCTGCGTAAGAACAAGATGTATCAAATCAGGATAAAGCTCTTCTGTTTGGTAAACGAGTTAGGGTTGTTGAGTTTTTAAGTTGTTGTTTCAAGCAAGTAGTTGAAATCTGTTTAGCTGGTATTCAAAAGTTCAGGTGTGGGGAGGGAAGCCGATAACACGGCCCAATCACTTGACGGCCTATCGTCCCAGGTCCCTTAGGTCACCAGTTCGTGTCGGGCATGGGATTAGTTAGCCAATTATTTATTTCAAATGCATGGACTTGGTGGTAGAGGAAGCTATAACTGACCAGCAGTTACTTGAACCACCACGCGCGGCGAGTCCAGAAATCCACTTCGATATATTTTAACCCCACATCGGATTTAACCCATGCAAGGTAATCAGAGGTGCGAGTATTCCTAACGCTTAGCGCGATGAGACACACCGCCGAGCATTGATAGAATTGAAAGCAGAATTCCTGACAAACCTAAAGATTTGAAAGAAGACCTGCATATGCCTCACAATTGCTTGGGTGTCACTGTACTGTCTTCCTTTTGACCATTATGTTTATGTTTGTCAAGTTTGTGGAGAATCGGAGTACTCCCTACCATGTGGCAGATAGCCAAGTCACCTCTTAAATACTTAAGAAATATAATTCGAACTGTACTACCTTTCAGAGCTGCAGGATTCGGCATCATCTTAAATATTAAAGTGCTAGAGGTCAAAGTAAATTATAAGGAAAAGTACGCATGCCGACCATTATGTCTGTCAAGCAGTGTTCCCTCTAAGGTGTGCGCGCGCACACAGCTTTCAGAGGCTGCGCACAAGAATAGATTTACTGCGCACAGACGTATTTCGATGTAACGTATGTTCTCGGTTGGCAGGTTGAGAAAGTTTGTTGTTGGCCCACCCATTACCCGGTTGGAACGCCAAAATTTCTTCATTGGTTTTTGCACAAATATTAGTCATTTCCAAAAAAGTGCGCAACACCAAAATTTCTGCGCACACATACTACAAAAATTAGAGGAAACATTGCTGTCAAGTATGTAAAAAATGCTAGTATTCTTAACAGTGAGGCAAAAAATCGAAGTCACCTCTAAAAACTTTTTTCCAAATTTAATAAGAAATAAACCTGTAAAACCTTTTAGAACTGTGGAGTTTGGCATCATTTCTAGCATTATAGTGGTATTCAAACTGAATAAAACTAAAACCATCATCCCGCTAACTTTTTTTACTGAGTCATCAGAATGAGAGTCTTCTTTTTTCCCAAACTAAATCAACTTTTTCGTCCCATGATCTTTTTAGGTGGGTGTCGACATCGTCAAACAAGGCTTCAATCCCATTTCAACTCAAACCAGCGATACAAATTTGAAAAATAAATCTGGCAACACACTTATAGTTGACAATCATCTTGTTTAAAAAATTATATCAGTATTAATGAAATGAAATTTAAATGAAGCAAATTGAAACGCATTAATAATTATCGATAAATAATCAAGTGAAAATATATAAAAATAATTAGAAAAATGAATCACATAATTGCACAATTTTCAGGATTCATATCTGGCCCAAACATGTTCCCGCCACCTGGGAATCCCCCTCCAGCCCCAAATATTCTGCTCATGTCCATGGGTGTCTCCCCACCACATTTTTCTAATAATTCCTGGGGAGGGTTGCCACATTCTTGCATTTTTTCTACCAAAGCCATAAGTTCGTTTAGCCTTTGCTTTTTCACTTCTTTGGTGTCATTTTCATTATCGGCCTCGAAATTTTTACAAATTTTAACGATAACAAGACTTTGCTGCTCATAGCGCTTGAAGTCTGTTTCAGGTACTTTATCCTTGTTAGACTCTAACCAGCCAGGGTATACCTCCGAAATTTGTTTCATTGTGGGATACAAAACGTCTTTAGACAATAAATTCTCCATCATGTTTTCCATCATAGAGATAAAATTATTCTCCATCCCTTCCATGTCCCCCATTTGACCCATCATGTCACTCAACCCTCCCCCCATCCCTAAATTTCTCATTTCTTGGAGCAGTTTTTCCTCTTCGGTAGCACCTGTCATATTCTTTAGTTCATCAGCGCTACTCCCAATTCCAGAAATTGTGTCTTCCATCACTTTGTTCAAATCTGCAGGGCTAGCTTGTTGTTGACCTGCGCTGCTTCCAGATGGCCCGGTATTGCTTGAAGAACTCATTGCAGAAGGCACGGCGCCCCCTAAAAAATATAACAAAAGACAAAAGAAACATTAGATTTGAACAGGGTAGTAAAAAAGGCCCTATGATGCCTTGAGCGCTTTACCTAACTACCAGTATGTTAGCATCGCAGATTGAAATCTTGGATTAAAACACCATTGTCGCCTCTTATTGGTGTATAAAGACAACTTTTCATTCATTAGACTCAATTTAAATATCTTGGCTATCTTGCCCAGAGAGCCAATTTCCTGAGGCATAATTGGGGGCCTCCCCCAGTGTGTTGTAGCATAATGTCCCCAGGTTGAACCTATGTATAATGGGATAGCAGCTTATGTAAGTTCCAAGCCCATATCAGTTTTTTGCCATATCTAGGAGAGGCAGCGGACAAAAGATAGCACACTAAACCAAACTATGTGTTAATGGTGTCATCAAATGGTGTTTATTGAACCAAATGTCAGGGCATCTTGAAATTGGAGAACTGATACTGATATATATCATTTGTTCATATCATACCTGACGCAACATTTTCCATAGTACTTGGAAGATTCTTCAACTGTGACGCAAGTTCTGGGTCATCATTAACTAATTCTTTCATTGCGGATTCCCACTCTTGTTGAAGTCTTTGAGAAACTTCATTGTCAAAAAATTGATCAAATATTTCTGATGGAGGGGGCACGCTCACATTCTGAGATGTTGAAGACGAGGGTGAACTGGCAGGAACATCTTTTGGAGGTTCTAAAGACTGAATATAAAAATATTGTTTTACAGACATTTCTACAGTTTTGCTTTGAGGAAACTAATAAAGGTCCTTATTATAAAAGAAGCCAATTCAAAAGAAAAATCGCTACTCGTCGCATCTTTGGATCTTAAATTCAACCTCCATATCCATCAATACGACCAGAGGGTTTTATAAATTTCCAAACAGATAGTATTCTGGTTTTTTCAAAAGTCATTGTGCCTTTTGCATATCACAGAATGCTTGTTTTAAAGTCTTTAGAGAAATAGCAGCTCAGTACCGGTTGGAGGTGCAGTTCTTACCACTTCATGGCAACTCCTGCCACGGCTTTATAGCGCTATTCAGTATTAACGGTATATTCACAAATTAATGTACCAGATTTAATTGATCATGCGGAATTATATCTACTACTACCCCAACCCCAAATCCATCCAAACTGTATCCATAAGAAAAACGTTCCAACTTACCCAATATTTGTCACCATAAGGAACTGCCCTGCCTTCACGGCCCACCTGCCGTGGTTACGGCAGCAAAATTTTACCTGCCATTGGTTTTCAATTTGCTGCCGCGGCAATGGCAGCCTGTCATTGGTTTGTGGCAGCTAGAAAGTTAGTCGCCATGGGTTTGGCCGTAGCGGCCATCATCGAGCAGGTGGGCCGTAAAGACAGGGCTGTCCCTTATGGTGATAAATATTGGGTAAGTTGGAACGTTTTTCTTATGGATAGTTTTGATGGATTTGGGGTTAGGGTTAGGGTTTAAGTAGATATAATTTCGCATGATCAATTAAAATTGGGTATATCAATTTGTGAATATACCGTTATAACTGAATACTGAATAGCGCTATAAAACCATGGCAAGAGCTGCCGCGGTTCGTTTGTGGCAGGAGCTGCCATGGAGTGGTAAGAACTGCGCCTCGCATCATCCCTGGCCATGTTTGGAGTAAAAGGTGCCATACAAAAGAGGTGCAAAGAAAACTGTGCATAAAAAAATGGTTCTCCAAATTCATTCTATCAGCATTTTACCTTCGAAGAACCTGGTGAATTTTTTTTCTCTTCACTTCCTTCTACACGTACTTTTACTTCTGTTGGCTTTTTATCAAAGTCAGACAAAGCATCGTTCAGCAAATCATCTAAATCCGCATCCATTATTATTAATTATTTTTGACTGAAAAAGACACAAAAAGAAAATTACAGGAAAATAATTCAGAACTGATTCAAACTCAGAAAGTACATTTTGTAACAATGATCGGATCGTTGGTAACACAGATTGGAAATGACAACAAAATTACATGGCCATGAGGAATTATAAAATGGGGTCTAGTCTCCAAGTGTGGTACACTGTCAGACTGTACACTATAGGAGACGCTATTTTTCAAAAGACAACAATGGCTTAGTTAAATTAACACAATTTGATCTCAAAATAACCTGGGAGTCAAAAAGCGAAAAATAGCAGCACTGACACATTTATTTTCAGGCAAGAATATTCTGATCAGTCACGCCTTGGTGGTTCCCAATCGTGTCAAAGTCTGAATGAAGCTGACCAAACCTGACATAAGTATCGCAGAACATACGGAAAATACACTCATATTTAAATATTTTGGATTCAGACAACAATTAATGATCTCAGGAGGATATAATTTCAAGTAGCAAAAAGGCTTTTATCCTGACTTTCAATTTCCTAAAAGGTTGAAATGTAATTAGGTTTTTCAAAAATGATTACTGTTTTTGAGAGCTCATTCTCTGCCTTATAAACTGGTCAGATTCTAAAAACCTTTCAGCACAGTTTGTAAGACATGTTTCTTGTCTTCCAAGGCTGTTTCCAACTCTATCAACACATATATTCCAACAGTCTGATGTCAGTTTATTGACGATGACCTTCAATTGGTTTTGCGCTTCCATTTTCTGTTGTTCTTCTATCAGCATTCTTGCAAGATCTGGATTATTTTTCAGCTGTTCCGTGACATCCTGCAAAGCGTTTGCATCAAAATCCATTTTAAACGTTTTTTCTTCACTTTAAACACGTAGAAGTAATCAATATTTTGAAATAATGCAGCAATAACGATACAATATAACAGATAGCAGGCGAGTAAATCGCGTGGCGAGTAATGTTTCGCAATGAGGTGAAATATCCGATCGAGCGTTGGTATTGTGCAGGAGTGGCTCCGGATGAAATCCGGAACTTGCATGAAAATGTCTCCATAATATATATTTATACTCGCAATTAATTCTGTTGAGCCTGAGTTTGCAAAGTTATGCATTTTTTTTTAAATTGTAGAATACCAAATAAATTCATGTCTGGTTTGAAATCTATAGATTTTGAAGATTGCACACTTCGGGGGCACATTCTAGGGGTACATGTCGCACAACTGTATCTCAGGCCAGTAAGGTCTTGAACATGTATCTATCCCGTCTCTGTTTTACTGTTTATTATTATGCAGACATTGTTACATTTTTGAGGCAAATAAACATACATACATACATTTTTCTGTTTCCTTATTATAACGACCACGACTAAAATTGAATTTGCATATATATATATATATCCCGGGTGAGAGGAAAGTAATGAGACGACTTAACGGCTTAATCATATGACGAACCGCGGCCACTCGTCCGGTTACAATTCCATGTCGGGTATGGGATTAGTTAGTCAGTTATTTGTTTCGGATGCATGGACTTGGTGGTCGAGGAAGGCGTAACCAACCAGTGGTTCGGTGAACCACCCTTATGTGAACAACCTACGGCAGCGAGAAGCCCAGCAATCCTTTATCCCCACACAGGGTAATCAGAAGTGCGGTGGATTCCGAGCGCTTAGCCACACCGTCTATTCACCTATACCTACTTCAACTATATTTGGGAGCCCAAATGTGACAGTGCAATTCTGAAACGATATGCGCTTGTATGTCTTGCAGAAAGTGCTACTTGCAAGCACAATATTTACGAGACGAAGTTCATTTTACATACATTTATGCTGGAAATAATTTTTCATTGATCTAAATGCTTTTTCTCGTTCCAATCTTTCAGGTGACGGAAAATGACAAGGAGGTAAACCAATACTAATAATGGGTTGAAATACCCCTTCTTATCATATCAGTCCCTCTTAAGGGTGAGAAGTAAATTACCATCACACCTCTGACTACAAGAGTTCATGGATTCAAATCCTGATCCACAGTGCTGCCCATTACTTCACCTTTGTAGATTTGTTCACAAACTGCAACCATCGAGTCAATGCATGTGAAAAAGGTAATGGTGAACTACAGCAGTGCAAGATATGGTTGGGACTGTTAACCATATGGGAAGCTGATGTTTGAAAGATTTTATACCTCTTTTGAAGATAAATATAAAAATTCCCTTTTATCTACCTTATTTGTTTCGGCATCCCCATTAAAAAGCCCAAAATCAACAGACCATGAAGCATATTAGCATAGCATTTTTAATTTAATTTCCACCTGCTATTAATAATTGCACATGCATATTTTTGTATTATCAGAATATGAAATAGAATTGATTAGTTCTTTCACTGCACAAAAGCAATTGCATCAACATAATTAAAACCATAAAAATATATACTCAGTAACAATATTATATACTATATGATACACTGTGGGTGTAATTATTAGAATAAATGTGGTAATAATGAGGCAAATTGGTGATAGCTGTATTATATTTAGTGCAACTTATGCAGAAATGGGATAGTTTGAAATAAAAAAAAGGAATATGCTACAACTAAGTTTGTCTTTATTGAAAATCTCGTAGATTTGCTCATTTCCACACAAAGGAGACAGTATTTATATGCATAGTGGATATTTCATTGAATTTCAGTTCATTACAAAATCATTATTAGCGATGAAATGCAGTTACAGGTTTTCATACAGAAATCATTGATTAAAATAAAATGGTTGACATATATCGAGAAATGACTTCATAACGAAATGGAAATTGTGACGAGACTTTATGGACACCAAACCTGGCTCACAGAAATCACAATACATGCAAAAGTCTGATTCAAGTTATAATCACAAAGTCTTAAGAGGCACTTGATTAAAAGTAAAATATACATAGGCACTACTTACAAACATCAAAGGGCTGTCAACCAATGTAGAGTATACTCTGGGAAAGAAATTATTATTCCTAGATATTGAAGTTTAGATCAGACTCTATAAATTAATATATTAAACAGTTAAACCATATTTGAAACAGCCTAAGAGTTAATTTTATTAGTTAAAAAAAACAGTGAAATATCTAAAATTTTAATTAAACAACACTTTGAAAAATCTCTTAATCATCTCAGATTCAAGCAGCTGCTATACAATCACCATTAAGGGCAAATACGTAAACAATAATTTCCACCATAATTTTAAGCACCATAATTGGGTATATTTGGAACTAACAGGTCCCCAGTTAAAATGATATACCCTGTTATAACATTACACCTTTCTAATTACAAGGCAATTTATATTCAATATAATCGGCATAATTTTCATTCAAATATGTTACTACAGCATCTTTTAGCTGCATCAAATCATTTTTACTATTATATATATTGATTGTGGGACGGATTCTAAATTGGTCGTTATAAACTGAAATTGTAACTTGGGCTTTGTGAAATTTGAAGATGTCTTTAGTCATCACGTCTGCTTCAGCGAGCCTAAAAAATAAAAATAATATTATTAGTTTAAATTTATTTAATAAAAAAATTTTCATGTTGAAGAACTGGGATGATTTAAATCAGTTGTTCTCAAACGGTGGGGTGCAAATCACTGACACTTACATTTCTTTATTTTGGATATTTGTGTTTCATCCATATTTTCAATGTATTTTTAAATAAAACGTACTATCGCCTTACTATCTGATATTTGAAGCTTATATTTTTCAGGTGGGGCGCAAGACTTGACAAATTCTAAAAAAGGAGCGCAGCTTAAAAAGTTCGAGAACCACTGATTTAAATTGAGACCTTATTGATAGCAGAAAGATCAACTACTCCAGGTTTTAGCCCTGTGTAACCCATAGTGTGAGAGGGGCTCCCGAAGTATGCGAACCAAGATGGCGGACATCGAGGTTAGGGTTAGGTCATAATTTTAGGCATAAATACTACGGGAGGCTCTTGGCTAGTCTTCGAACTGATAATACGACTAAAATAAGGAAAATTGGAAAAAAATGATCGCCTAACCCTAACATGTTACCAATGTTACGTTCCGATGTCCGCCATCTTGGTTCGCATACTTCGGGAGCACCGTGTGAGAAATAAGGTGAGCTTTGATATGATAAATGGAAAGATTCAGCTTCAGAAGGTTGCTTGTCTAAATCCTTGTTTAGAGCAAAGAAGCAAATGTATTTATTGTTTAGTTTTCTAGGTTCAATTTGGACTCTATAATTCGAAGATAATGATTGATGAGGGTTCCGCTAATTGATGCTTTTAAAACTATACCGAATGACAAAGCAGATTTGAATGGCATGACTTGATAACAGATGAATTTTAGACATTTTTTAGACTTTTTCGTAAGATTCTTATTAGATGGCCAACATCTATTAAAAACAGGTTATTCAGAGATGAGAAAAGAGAATAAAAGAAACCCTTTACAATTAAAAAACAATGATTCATGCATATTAAAGGTGAGGGCCAGGATTATTAATTACGAAAGTGAAAATTAATTTCACATTATGAAGTTCTAAAATCCATGCAGTATCCATTTTCCAGGAATAATATAAAATATGTTGTAGTATTCAACCTTTCAAATCACTGTTATAAAATAGGTACCTAATAGTCAAACATTTTGAATTTCACTATAGAGTTTATTTAAAAATGAGATTTTTTCAAAATAAATTTCAAGGTATTTTCGAAATGTTCTATCCTTAGTATGCAACAAAAAATGAAAATTGCCATTTATCTTGATTTTTTTTGAGTTATGGCTCATTTTTGAACTTCAAAAAATAATTTGTTATTAAAATAATGATTGTTATCATTACTGCATTAAGATATAAACGATGAATAAGATACGTTAGCAAGACACCATAAATTAATAGACTATGAAGCCTAATTCATAAATTATTATGATACATGCAATGCAAGACAGTATACGAAATTACTTGAACATTTTGACAAATCATATCACAGACAGTGGGAAGGCGTCATGCTCATAGCAGGTCTTGGCAAAAACATGTCAAAAACATGTAGCAAGAAAACAAGGCTCCCTATAAGTGTGCATGAAGTAGGTTGAGGCATAATTTTTTCAAACTTATTTGAAAAATATGTGGCCAAACAATGACCCTCAGGAAAAATTTGAAAAAATAGAAGTAATGACATTTATGAGGCACTTTTTGACTTTACCTACTGATAGAAAGTTTGCGATTGATGCAGTACTTCAAACAAATTGATCTATAAGTCGACTTTGTGTTCAACAAGAACTGAGCAGAGGTGTATGTTTAAGATTCCTTTCTGTGCAGTTTGTTTCTTAAAATCCTTATTAATACCTTCCATTCAAAGTGATTGATATGGCTGGCAAAACACTTTTTTTTTCATATTCAAAAATTGCCTCCAGACAAGCAGCCACCAAAATACAAAAAGGTGAAATTCTTCTAGAATAGAAGTTCTCAACTAGTCTCTTCTAGTTCACATTTTAGCAAATTTTAAAATTAAAATTTACCCACCTATCTTTGTATACTGTCTATTTCATGACCGATGTCATAACAAATCCAAAATTTCAGACCATACCATTCTCACAAGATGGCAATTTAACAAAGCGAATAATTTGAACCAGGGATGGCCAATACCTAATAATTCACTATTTCGAATATGAAATATCGGATATATTCAAAAATAAAATCAACAGCTTTTCTTAGTGTATGAAGGAATTTGTATACAACGAAAAATTGAATTAACATGACGTATAGCTTTGACCAAGCATACCCAAATAGAAAATTTTCCTTGGTGGCTTTGGTAACTGCATATAGAATGGTTTTTATTCAGAGTGAGAAATTGAATGCATGGAAAGGATACTGGAAAATTTCGGCAAAGGAAATCTCGCCGCATAGGAAAATCCGCCGCAAGAGCATTTTGCTGTAAAACGTGTATTCGTGACAAAAACAATTAAGTTCTTTGAAGTACCTTTTTATTTAAAAAAGATTCGTTAGTCAGGAGCACACTCTAACCCTGGCTATAAACATAACTGTTTTTACAGCAAAATGTTACTTGTTTTACAGCAAAATGCTTTTGCGGCAATTTTTCATGCAACAAATTTTCCTATGTGGCAAAATTTCTTGCGCCGAGATTTCCTACGACGAAATTTCCTGCCGTGAATTTTCCGAACACACATGAAAAAAAAAACACTTTGAATCATTGAATGGTCAATGAATATTTTCCAGGCATAGGAATCTGAATTACTAGCATGTTTGAATACACCACATAAGTTTTTTAATTTCAGTTGAGAAACAAGTCACCATGCACCATCATAGAATTGAAAAATACTGAATTTACTTTTTTCTACAGCTTTAAATGTTTCAGGTCTTCGTTAACAAATTTAACAACGCTTTCTTTGATAGCGACATAGTCTGCTTTGGAATTGTACACATTAAAGGACAAACGTAGAAATGTTGTTTCATTGCAATAATTGAAACATGCCTGCATCCCATATTTTGTATAAAAATCTTTCGTCAAATCCCAAATTTCTTCAAGTCTGAAACATGATTAATGTATGCTCCAATGATGGCTGTGGAATCACAAATGGGCTATTTTACTGTGAATATTATAGTATGTTCAGCTATGAGCCTTTATCTAATAGTGAAAAAGCACTATTTGAATTGCATTGTTGTGATTCACAATTCCTAACACATGCCACATCAGACAATAATTATCCGACAATAATTCAGTTGCGAAATTATCCATTCCCCAACAAACCAACCCAAATTTAATCCTGAGTTCTCATTTTCGATAAAACTTCAAGTAACGTATCTTTGACTCTAACATAGTCAGTCTCTGTGTTGTAAATATTTGCAGAAACACGAATTGACTGAAATCCGTTAAAACTTGCCAGCATGATCACAATTCCGTTTTCTTTGTACAGTTTAACAAGCAACTGTGCAACTGCTTTGCGAGCGCTTATTGCATCTGTTGGAATGCTGAATTATGTAAAAGTTTTCAAATGTAAAAATTTTTTAAATCCAAGTGCACTGGCTTGGTATTTGAAGCAGTAGACTTGGTTATTTTGGTATCGCCCATGACCACCATCTCACCCGAGTGTAATAATTGCAATAAGTGCAATTTATTTAAAATAAAGTACCTTCTTACACAGCAGTGGATATTCGTACAGTGATACCTCGGTAGTCGACTCGATACTAAACAATTCTGTAGTCGAACAATTCTAGTAAAATATACTGGGTGGCCAAGATCAAATCTACCAAATAATTTTATTTTTAATCAGCCCCACGTCCCCTCAGAAAACTGTCGACATCCCACCGTTTGAGAACTATCTATATTCGACACTACCAAATTGGTACAAAAAAACAAGGCACAATACATACTTAGCAGGTTTTTTCAAAGGCAATCTGATAGTTGTCATGCAAGGAGCCCTCATGGAATCCGGAATGTCTAACTCTTCTGTGCCAAGGGCTTCACAGAGAATTTTAGCAGCAAATTTGGTGAGTTCTCTGCCATGAGCTTGAATGGCTTCCTGGAAAACAAGGATAAAATTTAAGAAGCATTAAAGATTGTGGTAGCCTAGTTTTTCCTGAGTTTCCTTTCCCTGTTGAACTGTGTGCTCACTATTTTTTCTTGCCATTTGTGTATAATTGATTTTCAGTGGCTTGGAAAAAATAAACTGCAGTGCAATGTTTCTCAAGCAGACAAAGAGAATTAAAGAATTATATTGTTTTAGAGGTGGGAATTTTACTTCGTCCTATTTGCTAATATTTAGAATCATTGTAATACTTTTTTAAACAAGTCACACATATCACTAGCTAATTTTGCATTAAAGATTGAACGAAGGAGTTTTTATGGTTTGTGAAGGATGAAGAGTTCTAAAAAAGACAAAAGAAGGCGTGTATTGTGAAAGGCTTGGAACCCCTGAGTTAGCTTGGAAATGGGCCTTAGTATGCTGGTGTCACAGGCAGGCCAAAAAATGCATAATTATATTATTAACTACAGTGGAATTTAAAATATTTTCATTTTAAAAAATGTGAGTCCTGGATGTAATTATACAGTAATCGTAGTTCAAAAATCTTGAGTATAAACTCTATGCTCCCACCCAGGGATTAATAAATTGAGTAGTCGATGCCTAACCGGAAATACTTTGGCTCTCCCAAAATATAATGTCACCAAACACCTACTAGCGTCTGTATAAATGTTTTATAAAAAAGAAACAATATTACAAAGAATAGTAGCTTTTGCAAGGCCTTCGAAGCAAAGAAGTAAATAAGTATATAAAAAACTAGCGCACTTCTGAGCTGGATATGCAATTTTAATTTAAGATAAAAGTTCTCACCAAGCCACCAATCTCTTTATAAAACTTAAGAGCGTGGGGAATACAGAAGTAACTTGAAATATCCCGAGTTCCAAGATTGTTAAACTGGTCGTCCAATGAGTGTTTGTATCCATGTGACGTCACTAGAGGGCGTAGCTGGCCGTGGAAGTCATCAGAAAACCAAATAAATCCACATGAACGAGGCACGTAACACCATTTATGAAAGTTTGCTAAAAAAGATAAAAAAAGATTTTTGAGCAATCAATCAAGTACCGTAAATCCACGAATATAAGCAGAGTTCAAAACTCAAAAATAATGTTGCCAAACTAAGGGGTCCGCTTATATGCGCATAACTGTGACCTCACTGAAAGGTTTGAAAGTAAGATGAATTTGAAAGGATTTAGTGACACTTCTTACAGATATTAATAAAAGTAAAACATTACAATAATGGTTATCATTTTTATTAATTCTCTTCTGCAACCGGTAACTGTACAGCATGTTACAATTTGTAGGGTCGGCTGATATGCAAATTTTCATCAATTCATCCTTTCAGGAACGTTTTTATACAAGGATATACGGTTGTTTTTCGATCTCATAACTACTGGGAAAACGAATTTTCATGACAAAACCAGACCATTATAGCACATATAACTTGAAATAATGTTTCGATTATCGGAGTTCCTACAAACATCTTTTCAATTCAAAATTTCATTTGATCTAAATCCTTTGATGTCAGAATCCTAACGAATGACAAAATATTGAAATATTATTTCAAGCAAACGATTAACTACCTGAATAAAAGTCAGCTCCAACTTCGGCAACATTGAGTTTTATTTGACCAGGTGCATGAGCGCCATCTATCAATGTTAAGACGCCTCGTTCACGACATAACTTGGACAGTTTTTCAACAGGAAATATTATAGCTGACGGACTTGTTATGTGGTCTGGAACATTAAAATAGATAAATGGTATATACAATATACCAGGGCCTTTTTTGGAATTTGTCAAGTTTCACGTCTCACCTCAAAAATAACTAGCTAAGAATAAGCTACCAATAACAGATAGAAAGGCGAGAGTAATGTAGCAGATAATAAGAATAACAAAAGGCACAACAGCTCTCTGAAATTTCTAAACAATAAAGAAATGTAAATATTCAAAATAAGCCCGGCAAGATCAAATCTGACAAATATTTTTATTTTGCTTCACGACCCCTCAAAAAATTTTCTACGCTCTACCGTTCAAGAACAACTGGTATATACGAACATACAGTGACTTTAGGCTGATTAGTTCTGGTATTTCAATGTTTCAAATTAACACTTGCAGGTAATTTTTGAAAAATCTATCATACATTTTATGTACTCAATCCATTCAAATAAATGTAGTCATAACAACAAACCAACGCACCTCCGATGCCCACTGATGGCTTGTTGGAAAGTAAACATTAAGCACTCAAAAGTGCAAGTCAAATAAGACTTGAATAAGTAAGTAGTGGTTGGGAAAATGATATAGGCCTTTTTTGTGATAATATCGACAATGAACATGCCGTAAACTCACCCAGAACTGCAAGTTTGATCTTGGGATTTTCATCCAATGCTTTGCGGAAAACATCTACCAAGTCATCCTCAGATTTTATGGGAAGTGGGATTTCAGCAGTAACAACTTTAACACCTGTTTGGAAAGAAATTTAAAGATTCGAGATAAGCATACGAGCTATAACATTAAATTGAAAAGTCGATGAAAAGTCCCAACATAGGCAACAAAATTGTGTGCAAGATATACAATATTCGTGCCACTTTGGTATGTGATTTCAACGTTATAAAACTACTTTGGTTCGTAATCCCACTTGCTTAACATGATCGAAATTGGGCGCTCCCGAAGTATGTGCACCAAGATGGCGCACAACCTGAACCCTAACCTGGTACACATACTATGTTCAGGTTGTGCACCATCTTGATGCACATTTTTCTGGAGCTCCCAAAATTGCATAAAAACATCCTCATGGATTTCAGTTCCTATCACAGAGATCACATAACTGCTAAGACCGTATACCAAAGTGCCGATATTCTAATAAACACTAATAATCAGATTCTTTGACTGTGGTATTCAAATATACAGGGTGTCCATAAAGTCCCTTTTACAAGTCTCAATTTTGTTATCAAGTAACAAAAGTTATGAAGTTCTCAATATATCTTAACCAGGTTTGTTGTTTTTTATTCAGTAATTGTTCAAGTATTTTTACTTCATTTAATACATCTTTGAGGGCCAAAACAATATAGCATCAGTAAATTCCCTTTGCAATTTTATAATTTGTGGACACCCTATTATTTTACAGTTCGATTTCGACATTCTTGTCACACATAGTGCACAATAACAGTACTTCTTCTTACCTTTGATAAAGTCCTCTTGTTCGTCAGCGATATTCTTAACTGCATTGTAAGTGTGAGTATGGATCAATATCTGATCTCCAGGCTCAAATTTCAAGCATTTCACCACAGTGTTGACGCCTGAGAAATAATAATAAATTAACATAGTTGTCTAACACTCAGCTAAGGGTAAGACAGTTGGTGCAAATTTTGCTCTGAACCTACTAAATTTAATTCTAATCTCAACAATGTCGTTGAGTTATTCTTAGCTGAAACATCAAAATTTGGTTAAGATAAGATAGGATTTACATATTTATCCCGGGGGAGAGGAAAGTTGGTAAGACGGCTTAACCATATGGCGAACCATGGCCTCTCGTCCGGTTATCTGTCCATGTCGGGTATGGGATTAGTTACTTATTTTTGTTTTCGGAAGCATGGACTTGATGGTGGAGTAAGCCGTTTAAGTTGCGATAAAATCGGCCTAATATTTGACATTTGCAAACTTCAAACCTGTAGTCACATTGTCAACAAGCACCAAGTTCGATTTTTTAACTCCGAGAAATTCCGCAGCAGCTGTGAGAGAAGCATCGTAGTATTTTTCCAGGTTGAATCGGAACCAGAGGTCGGGCTGCGCTTCTTGCTCATATATGAACCTGAAATAAGTTGATAGTGTCATAGGATGGTCCAAAAAAAACAGAACCCAAGTCATCTGGGAAATATTCTAGAGCAGGGGTTCTCAAATGATGAGGCGCGCCCCACAAGGGGGCCATGGATAATATTTTGAGGGAGCGCTAATTAAAAATTAAAATATTTGTTAGATTTGATATTGCCCCCTTTAATTTAGATATTTACATTTCTTTTACTCTTTGGTTAGAGATTGTGATTCCATCCACGTATTTTCAACATGTTTTTCGAATAAAACATACTTTCGCCTTACTATCTGTTACATGTAGCTTATTGTCAGCTAGTTATTTTCGAGGTGGGGCACAAGACTTGACAAGTCATTGAAAAGGGGCGAGGATTAAAAAATTAAAAAGAGAACAACTGTTCTAGAGAGAACATAAATTTCAAACAGTCCTAGATTGCTAAAACTTTTGGATACAATCATACACAAACAGAAATCGAATGTTAAATAAATTTTCTTCAAAATTTATAAGTTCTCTTTTTTGAGTCACCCTGTCAGAGAGAATTGTACTTATACAATGGTTTACTTAAATTATTTGCTTGGTGCAGGGGTGAGCAATTACTTTTTTGAGTGAGTCTGCTACAGATAACAGACTTGGTTACTGGGCCAGAGGCTTAATAAGAAAAACTATGAATAAAAACAGTTTATTTACAACTACTTGTCTGTCAGCTAGGCTACTGTTTGTATAATAATATTAAGCAGAATGTAACAATCAGCGTCATTATTATGTTATTTTCATCTAGAATTTCAACAGAATTTATATCCATAAAACTATAGTTGTAATTCCAGCAGCCCACACTGGACCTGGATGAAACACTTCGGTGGGCCAGATCTGGCCTGCAGGCGTGATTTGCCCACCGTTGGCTTGGTGGATAGGAGCTTACAGGGTTAAGATGATTCATCAGGAGCTCACAGGGTTAAGATGACTTATCAGGTTCGGATGCCATGGTGGTAAACTACAGATTACTGTTATGCTAGTTAGTGGTTCAGAATACCAGGCAATTGAAATTATAAACTACTTGTTACCTATCACCTAATACCTGTCCTGGCATCTTAATTAATAATACTCTGCACAATTAGGCTTTATGGCAGGGGTGGGCAAAATTTTTTAGTATAAGAGCCGCATGTAGCAAGTCAGAAATATGTGAAAGCGCATAATTTTTGAAATTAATAATATTAGAACGTAAGATTAGTCGTTTGACCGATTTGAATTAAATTCCAGGCTACGATTTTCATACTAAAACAGAATTTGTCTTAATCATAGTAGAAAACTTCGTTTAACCGCATAATGACTTAAAAACTGTTGCGCTACAGTTTCTCATAGTTAAATTTGGATAATATATTATTATTGCTAGCGAGAAGAGCCGCATAAAAACCCTGGCGAGTCACATGCGGCTCGTGAGTAGCTGTTTGCCCGTTGCTTTATGAGCTTTTCTCTCCCCCCAGTAAAAATATGAAAATCCTGTACATTATTAACATACATTTAACTGAGTTACAATTGAGTGGCAAGGCTTTTCATATAGATTTAAAATTCTATTCTACAAGGATATCAATAAATAATATTACATAAAATTACTGTCTTTGAGTATGCAAAATTATTTCAGTCGATATCATGTATTTCAGCATAAATGAGAGTTTTGATAATATCATAGTTTAATCATATATTACGGCACCGTTGCTTGATAACCAATATTACTAATTTTGTGTTGACCATCATCCTGAAATGCCTTTTTTACATTGTGTATGCACAGTGTATTTTTAGCATTATGAAAAAGTGAACACTAATAACTGATAAATCCCAATATTCAAAAATGAGAACTTACTTGACTTTCTGTTCCACCACTCTCTTAGGAGTTGGCCCATAAGATCCATGGTTCACAAAAGCACATGATTTATCCAAGAGAAACTCATCCTTCATTTCATCTCCAAACTTTACGTCTTTCAAATCCATATCTCCAATGCGATACCAAAAGATAGATTAGAAAATTTAGATACTACTTTGATCTAAATAAATACCGGTAATAAATTGCTATAATATCACATCACAACAGAGAGAGAAATTTTGAATACACTGATAAAGTATTTTCTGCATGGTTCAAATACAAAATATATTATGTTTTATTTTTTTACACAAGATTTGACCCCAGGAAGTAATGACCCAGAAACTATTCAAGCATCATTGATTCCCAAAGGTGAAATAGCTTTCAATTCAGGTTTAATCAAAACAATATTGCCCTCACGAGAAATTAGATTAGAGATAGAAGAGTAGCAGACAGCCACTGACACTTGTTACTCACATAATGATTTTTAAGTGTTTGTTTTCCATATAACCTCCAATAAAAACGGACAGTGAAATTGCTTCTCTGTTGGTTAGTTAGCAACAATATGCACTAATAATTTTATGTGCGTAAAAAAGACCCCAAGAAGCAAGAAAAAATAAAATAATAGCCACCCAATTAGACAGCCCGCCTAAAATCAGGCCAAAAAATTGAGTCGAAGGAAGCGACTTAATAACCAGAAAATACTGTTTATTGGTATAATCTTGGATAACCATCTTGACTGAAAAACAAACTAAAACAACTTGCTGCTAAAATAAGTTGACTATTGCACGAAACAAAAAAAATAAATAAATCATAAATAACTTGTGCACAGGAATCACAAAAAAAAACTGCAAGTCTAAGTTCTTAGTAAAAAACCTAGAGGAGTTTTAGACCTTAAGAATGAGGTTTTATAGAATTGCTTTAATATGATCTTCATGTTAGTCCAGAAAAAGAGGGCTTAATCATATGATAGTAAGTGAGTCTATAGTCTCGTCACCGGGTCGAGAATTACTAAACAGTCCGATGCAAAAAATAGGGGGTAACAAAGAGGTGTCGGCCCATTGATTTGGACTCTAACACAAGCCTTTATTACCTAGACTTGCATACACATATTGTGAAAAATAGAAAAATGAGTATGAGGAACCACTTTCTTATATCAATCTCAAGTAGTCTGGATTATTTTTGTGTTCAATCAATCCAATCAATTCAACCTTTGATTGACGAGGAATTCGTGCAATCTTTTTCCCATCATTGCAGAATATTTCTACTCTCAAAGACTTTATCCCGTTGGCTTTTTAGTTGTCGCTTCCACTCTACTTGTGCGTTTGTTAGTCGATTCATCATCATTGAACTTGTAGAACTATGCTGCCTCCGATGGCTGCGAAAGCGCATATTTTCGGCAGTTTCAGATGAAGTCGAAGGTCGATCTTCACTGACTAAATTCTGAGTTTCAACTCCTTGTTCTCGTTTCCGCTTTTTACCGATAAAATCAACTAATCCAACAATTGCCAAATATGAGAATAATATTCCAATTAAAATCAGATACATCAGGACAACAACCTCCATAGTCTTAGTGCTTCGTACTTCATATTTACACTGACACAAGAGGCAGTATTGTTCCAGCATTACGCCAGATATATTTGCCCAATTCAATTCCGGAACGACAACATCTAAACAGTTACATTTTTCTTGAACTGCATCTTTTGTATAAACCTTTCTCGGAATATTGAGAGCAATAAGTTGTTTGCAAGTGCAGCGACACCGAATGTCATTGAATTTTGCTTCTGCCGATATCTCACATAAAAGGTTACAAATAGTGAGTAAAAATAAAGTTAGTAACGACCCCTTAGTAGTAGGCAACATGATTATTTGTCCGTTTAATACTATATCTAAAATATTCTGAGAAGATAAAAACATTATCAAGCAATGATACTAGATAAAGTATCCAGAATCCGGTATTTATTTTCACCAAGTAAAAATGTGTCTATGTGGCTAATTAGGTAACAAACAAATCAAAATTATATACAAAGAGGTATGTTAATCACAATAGCAGTTAACAACGTATCAAGAAAGCTTACTTGAGTCATCCATTCATTAGACAATTTATTACCGTAATAACCAAGCCACAGTACAAAAAAATTACAACACACAGACAGACACATGGGACAAAATTCAGGATATTACAACACCATTTGCAAATTTATATGCAAACATTTAAAAATGGGCTTGGATTAGTTTTTAATAATTTTTAGACGCAGAAGCTTTAGAAATAGGATAAGATTTACATGTTATCCCCAGAGATACAATCATTTCTATTTTGGTCACTCTGTAAGAAACAAAACAACAACGAACAGACAAACAAAATGCAGAGGACCTGGACATAACTTGATAGAAAATTTAAAAAACGTACGAGTGCGTGCCCGTCCACCAAAAACAGTCAAAAGAAAACAATAAAATCAAGACACGATGTAAAATCGAGCGATATCTTTTAAATTAATTTTAAAATGTGAGACACTGATCAAAAGAAGATCATGGCAATAGACTTTATACAAACTAGAATTAAGAAAATAACCATAAAAAATTGTGGCTGCAGCTCTTATGCGTGATTACAGAAAAAATTGATTGATCAGTGAAATTTTTTTACAAAACAAAAGTTAATCATGAGAAAATGAACTAGGCTATGTACGGTATGTGAGAAAGTGGCATGCATAGACTTGCTACAACAGACAGAATCGTTAAAGCAGACTTGTACAATTACAACCGTCTGCACTCCCGAAGGTACCGTACCGGTACCGGTAACAGGCATTCAACTTCTTATTTACAAAAATGTACCGGTACCGGTAATGATTTAGAGCTTGCATTCTTGTGCGGCTGTTTTTGAGAATGATACCGGTAGCCTACATAAAATAATAACCTCCAGTCGAACGCTACCGGTACCGGTACCGGTACCGGGTACCGGTACGGAATGCTGTGAATTTGTGTGAAATGTAACTGAACTGTACCGGTAACTGTTCTCCATTCTGCACCCGATTCATTCTGGTAATTATGAATCAGTATCTCTTTGTATCGCAGTGTCAGCCTCCTAAGAGCCTTGTTTAAAATAAAAAAGGACAAAGCCCGTGTATAAAAAAAACAGGCTATTCCAAATATCTTCTCAAAGCCCCGTTTGATCCCAAACTGTATTCGCGCAAAAGTACCTCAATTCGCGCAAATCTTCCAAAATGTTTTTATCATTTCGATCAAAGTCCTTATATTTCGATCGGCTGCTGGCGCCTCGAGAAGAAAGTGGTTGATAATGTGGTTAACTGGGGAAGAAGCCGTCTATATTGTTTTATTGCAAATTTATAATAATTGTTATCATAAACAAAAATACCTGAAACATTCACCCACTTTTAAAACTTTTAAAAGGTCAGTTCACCATGAACGATTTGTGGGAATAATACCGTTAGTGGCGATAGAGATACATTCTTTGTTTCCTCAAGTTACCAAATTTATGCCTGATGTCCTACATTCAGACCGTCATTTTTCTTATTTTATTGCTAAAAATGCATTTTCAATACATTTTTTTGGATAACTGTATTTTAGAGCAAAATATCTTTAGTTATATCATATATCTTGTTTTAAGTTATCAACATAGAAAACGATTTTTTGCAAAAAGTAAATTTAAAATCTGGCATATTGAAAAAGAAAAAAGGGTATTTTTGAAGAGCAATCAGTCTAGTTTCCTTGTACATCGACTAGTTTGCAAAAATGAATATCACCATCGAGTCGTTGCTTGCGGACGCTAAATATCTTGTTACAAGATTGAAGGTAGAGTATTTCAATGTTTTGACAGTTAATAAAGGCTTCTACATATAATTCAATCCTCTTGAGGCAGACTTCTGGCTTTTTTACTGATTCAGGTTTTGATATTTATCCCTGGGAAGGGAAAGTCAATAACTGGCTGACTAATCCCATACCCAACATGGACTGGTAACCGGACGAGAGACTGTGGTTTGCCACCAGACTGGATTCCATGGCAGATGCACGCCCGAGGCCGCTAGCGCTTCACAAAAATGCACGCGAGCGAATTCAATTTTGCACGCCGAAAATTTGCAATTGCTCACCAATGTAAATCGGTTTAAATAGTTTTTAAATCAATAATCTAGTAATATAACCCTTTCCATGCGATTTTTATTTTTTATTAAATAATCGTATTTGCTACGCCGACTTTATGCATTTGTACCCCCACAACTAATCGATCGACTAACGAAAAAGTAATGATCCTCTGCTGCCCACTGACGGCTTGTTGGAAAGCTTATTTAAAGAGCTTGCAATTGGCGATTAAAAAAAATTTTTTTTTTAAAAGGGGTGGTCTGAGTCACAAACCGGATAGAAAAAAGGCATTTTTTTCTCTTGGGTGTTGAAACTTCAAACCGTGATAAAAAATAGAAATATTTGCTAAATCCTTTACTGTTACCGCTTCTTGGTTGGCAAACAATGCATAATATTGCTGTAGCAATTTCGTTATCTAACTCAAAATACTTTGGTAGATGGAAGGGATAATTTGTCTTCTATCACTACCCAAAAAACACCGAAATTTGCATAAATTTCAAAAACACTCCATCGTTCCTCCGCAAATAAAACTCCCATGGTAAACGAAAGCGAGATTTATCGTCGCTTATGTTAATCTCGAAGAAGACTTTTTATCAATAAACTAAAACCCGGAAAAACTAGACCAACAGTTTGCGACCGATTGCTAAATAAAACAGTGGAGTACATCAACGTACCCGCCGCAATCTAGCGAGTTTTGTCGTGGGTACGTATACGTGCCCACCGCACGGAAAGGGATAAAGATGCCAAAAAATTATAACTTTACAATTGTCGACTAATACTTGCTTGCAAGATTTGGCCTGATCGAAAAATGCGAAGCAAAAATCACCATATCGTGTTGAATGATAGGAATCCCGTGAGAAAAATCGCCTCCTCACCGACGCTGGCCAGTTATGGCTCTGATTCAGCGTATTTTCAATACAATAATTTTACACGGATGTACTGAACAGTACCGGTATCTAAAGTCGCACAAACACTCTCAAAATTAGTGACAAAATATAGAAATGATGTTTTGGGGGTCAAAGGTCAAACGTCCATTTTTGCTATGATCCAACTTATTTTTACGCGGATGTATTGAGAGGTATCTTAGGTCGAAATCAGTTTAGCGGGCGCAGTTGTTTTGCACGCCGTGAGCTATAATTGCACGCCAGAAATTCTTATTTGCACGCGGGAATTTCTGATTGCACGCCCGATTTCTCGTTCGAAAAGGCCATGAAATCCAGACTGGGTTTGTCATATGATTAAGCCATCTTATTGTCTTTCTTCTCCCCCCCCCCCCCCCCGAGATAAAAATGTAAATTCTATCAGTACAGCACACTATCCAAATTCCAAGAATTTCCCTCCATTTGGTTCAATAAAACAATCACTCTACTTGTCTCACAAACGAGGGGCGTCTGGACCACGTCAGATGCATCATATCGCGCCATGCTTGATTCAATAATAATCTTAATTAATCGCGGCCGTCACATGACCAAAATTGCTGTTTTTTGCTAAAAACTCTCGAATGCAACGGTAAAAAATTTTTTCTTTCGGTAAATCGGTTGATTTTTTCCCAAGAAATTCAACGATGACGATATTAGATTGCGCTTCTTTGTAGTATTTTGCGCAACTTCATTTTACTGTTTTATCACCGATATTGAGGGACAACAATGTCCAAATGTCTTCCAAAGGAGGGGTGTCTGATCATCTGTAAAATGGGTTTCTCTGAAACGGGACAATGTCACCCGATTTGTATAGTGTGCCGTACTGTCTATCCTAGTCCTAAGAAAGCTTAATTACATGGCGAACCACAGTCTCTTGTCCCAGATTGGATTCCATGGCAGGTGCACGCCCGAGGGCGCTAGCGCTCCGCAAAAATGCACGCGAGCGAAATCAATTTTGCACGCCGAAAATTTGCAACTGCTCACCAATGTAAATCGGTTTAAATGGTTTTAAAATCAATAATCCAGTAATATAAAGATGCCAAAATATTATAACTCCACAATTGTCGACAAATACCAGCCTGCAAGATTTGGTCTGATCGAAATATTGCGAAGCAAAAAGACCATGGACCTTTCCCCAACCTTTGACCCGCGAAAAATTCCTCTCATTGTTACGTCCTTTTTTGCATCTTGCTGATTGGCCAATGTCACGAAGTAAACAAGGAAGTCGATGCTCGGGGAAAGGTCCATATCGTGTTGAATGATAGACAATAGGAATCCCGTGAGAATAGTTATGGACGAAAAGATCGCCTCCGCACCAATGGCCAAGTACGGCTCTGATTCAGCGTATTTTTCATACAATAATTTTACACGAATGTACTGAACAGTACCGGTATCTAAAGTTGCTCAAACACTCCCAAAATAAGTGACAAAGTAAGAAAATAATGTTTGGGGTCAAAGGTCAAACGTCCATTTTCCTCTAATTTGACGTATTTTTTATCCATTAATTCTACGTAAAAACACTACCAAAATTAATGACAAAGTATGTCCATTTTGCTCTGGTTCAACGTATTTTTTATCCAATAATTATACGCGGATGTACTGAACAGTACCGGTATCCAAAGTCGCACAAACACTCAAAATTAGCGACAAACTGTAGAAATAATGTTTGGGGTCAAAGGTCAAACGTCCATTTTTTCTCTGATTCAACGTATTTTTTATCCGATACCGGTAATTTTACGCGGATGTATTGAGAGGTATCTGATGTCAAAGTCAGTTGCACGCGAGTGCAGTTGTTTTGCACGACGTGAGCTATAATTGCACGCCAGGAATTCTTATTTGCACGCGGGAATTTCTGATTGCACGCCCGATTTCTCGTTCAAAAAGGCCATGAAATCCAGACTGGCTCTTGTCTGGTTCGCTGGCCATATTGGATATGAAGCTCATTCAACCAGTTATTAGTTTTCAGATGCATGGACTTGATTGTGTGGTAAGCTGTAACAGACCAGCGGTCACATGAACCGTTCTGTTTCTTCAGATATTAGAATACTGACTTGTGGCTATTGTATGTCAGTTCATGTAAAGGCTGGTTTGTTACTGCTTACTCCAATGTCCAAGAGCAGAAGTGCGAGTACCTGTAATGTTGAACTATAAATTAACTTACGTCGATCAGTATTATAGTAGACTAATAGTGAAAAATATTGGTATGTCTGTATGTGTATGTATGTATGTTTACTAATATATCAAATTCCTTCTCTGTTGGGAAAATTGTGATGTCATAGTCTTTCGAATCTTTCTAAACCACTAAAAGGCCCTGTGAATGTACTAGTTAAATTAGTGATTTCTAATCTTCTCTCCTGGTCAGACCCAAGTATAATTTTATTAGTTTGAAAGCCACGAGCATCTAAAAATCTTTCGAAAGTTATTGCACCCTGGATTATGAACCAACTAAGTGATATTTCGATCAGCCAGGGTTTATGTGGGCCGCACAATTAAAACAAATTTTGGTACTCCTGTAGTAAGTGAACCAAGATGGCGGAGGCAAGATGCTTCTGGAGCTCACAAATTTTCAGTGCTTTCTATCTATCAAGAGATTATTCTTTTATTTTCATCTATTATCCTAGGATCATGACAGCGCTGCTGAAAGTCTTGCCGAACAGGCTTCAACTCTCAAGAAAGAGATGGAAGCAAGAAACACATATCAAGAAAATTTGATTGAACTGAACAAAGTTGCTGGACACAGACCAAGGTCTACTTTAGTCTTAGGTACGACAAATTTTTACAAGAACCAGTACTAGCTTTGCTCATGTTTTTAACGTGATATTTATTATGATTATCTTTGCTTGCCGGTATGATATTTCCGGACATGACGTAATCGTTTTTTTATCTTGTACCGAACTCTAGATACACAGAAAAATTCAATTTGAAATTGGTAATTAAGAATAAATTATCTTAAATTGGTCGTTACTTAGTGTTATAAGTTAAAAAGAATAAAAATGTACATTTCAAATTATACTTCTGGTGAAAACAATGTTATATTTGCAAAATTTCCATTTCTGTCTCCAAGGTATTCAGCAAGAAAATAATGCAATTCGGTCCCTACAACATGAGAACGATGAATTGCGACAAAGTTTGACCGACCACCAGAACGCATTGGAACTTATCATGACCAAGTACAGACAGCAGATGATGAAGTTTACTAAGCACCAAAAGTATGTGGATCTTGTCAATGTATTTCATAATCTCAGTGAGAGGAAAGTCTGATTAAATACATTTAATGCTGATAAATACATTTATACTCAAGACCATGCCGTCAAAAACAAATAACTAATCCCATTCCTGAGGACATGGTTAGTTAGCCATATGATCAAGCTGTCCTATTGTCTTTTCTCTTCTCCGGGATGAATATTTAGGCTATTTTCTATCCTAATGTTGAAAAATAATAATGAACTTTCAATTGGCTTAAAATATCAAAATCAATCAACTGTGACTAGAACCAGTGGGCCATGGCCCACTGCTGGATTTTGAGGTGGCCCAGAACTATTGAAAATTGCTAGTTTTATTTATATTACAATAGTTAGTTTTGATGTTAGCTACAACCAATGACAATGCTGTTTACTGCTAATAGGTGGTAATTCCAATTCAAATAAAAAACGTTAAAGTGCCAGTTTTCGCAGAAAGATCTTGATTTTACTTCCAGTTTTCCCCTTTGCAATAAAAAAGTTAATGGGCCACAAGAATTTTTGGGCAATAAAAATGGGCCATGAAAGAAAAAAGATTGAGGACCACTGGTAGACAGCATTTATAATTTTATTTATATCTTCCATTTTCAGCATCCAGATCACTGAAAATGCTTATCAAGCAGAAAAACAATATCAAGAAGAGAATATGGAGCTCATTGATAAGGTAATTTTTATCTTATAGTAGAAAAAATAAGCATCCTGATTAATCAAGATCAGTATATTATATATTTGCCCTGCAGATGTACAAGCAGACACTACGCACTAATATCTAACGATGTGTAATGAGCTACTAATATTTAAAGGACGGGACTCTTTCTTACTTGGCAATCTTGTCATTGTTAATGCTGCAGGTTTGACAAGAAATATTCAAGCACACAAATTCGACCACATGGTGGTGCTGAAGATTCAAGTTATTTCAAAACAAAAAAGGGTTGCAGTTTTATCTAACAGACATTGTTTATCTTTCTATGTTCCAGATTCACGAGATGGCTGCTGTGATGAGGCATGCTGCGGATGTCGACGATGAGCAATATATCAGAGATTACGAAGAATTATCCCGATTGCAAACAGAAAATGACATTTTAAGAGAAATGCTGATGATATCTAAGAGTTCATTTGGATCAAGACTTATAACCACTGAACAGAAAGATTCTGGAAAGACTGACAAACCAGAGTATGAATCTGAAATGGTGCCCACTGACGATACTACTAGTGATAAGACAGTTATTCATGAGGGGGAATCATCCTAAAACTACTCCCCAGACAGTTATTTTATTACAATAGGGAGGACGTTTATGTTCCTTCGAAGGGTACTCCCGTAGTATGTGTGTACTAGGTTCATAATTCATTCAGATTTTTCTTATTTCAGTTTTATTTTGAGTTTGGGACTGTCTGTGTTAGCCAAGTGGATATACCCCCTGCCCATAGGTTTCAGTCCCTTTTCACAACTCGATATAATGTAGGCAAACAAAATTAGTTACCTCCATATTGGTACACATACTTCCGGAGCGCCCCTTACTCTTGTTATTCCTTGTGTTTCTATCGAAACTCAGTATTGAGAAAATATATCTGGTTCATACAAAGTACTCTGCACAAGACTGTAGGCTGTCCAGGGGTTCTGCAGGTTTGCATTGAAATCCTGTAGTCTATATCAGGGCTACTCAACTGGGGGCCGCGGCCCGATTTCGGACCTTTCAGGTATTTGATCCGAACGCATAATTCTTCATTTTGGATCATTAGCCCACTTTTGAAGTTTCCTTTTATAAAATCACTTTTATAGATTTAAAAATATATATGAAAAGAACTATAACAAACAATCTTGATTAGCTAATAATCATTAGTCAGCCGAGGAATCGTGTGCTTGAGGAAGCCGAAATATGTCTGGAAAGTCCGGACCCAAATATTTATGAAGTTTTGTATGCGGACCTCCGGTAAAAATAGTTGAGTAGCCCTGGTCTATATTATTATATTTATCTTGTTTAAATATAATTAAATACACGGATATAATGTAATGAGTGTGTTTCATGAGAGACTTTCATTTTCTCTACATTAGAGGTAAGATCAATTCCGGCCCAGGCCCGTGGGTATGGAACCCGACTGGTGTCCGACTAATTAACTGGATTTGCAGGCCCGAGCCCGAAGCAAACCCGAAATTTTATATTTTAATCAGATCTCTGAATTGTCATTGCAAGAGTGTCGTGTTGATGGGGCAACTTCTGTTTTTTTGCAGACCACGGTCTTTCGTGGCAAAAACGCTTCTTTTAACAAAAAAGTCAGCGACAGAACAGCCAGACCCGGCTCGAATTTCGGGTTCGGGCTTCAGATCTTAGCTCTACTCTACATCAAATTTCCGTTTCACATTTTTTGATTGGCATATTATAATGTATATTCAGTTACACAGGGGTTCTTAAGCTTTGGAAATGTTTATTGGGGTTCCTCTCCTCCATAAAAGTTGAAAAATCTTTGCTTTAGACCATGGGTGTGCAACCTTTTTTATTGGCGGGCCAAATACAAGTAACTGGGTGAAGTCGCGGGCCGCACCTTTATTTAATTTAGGCTTTCTGGTAGTTAGTTGCAAGCACAAAAATTGCCTATATTTGCTATTGATCTTACGGCATTATTAGGGGTTCTTGCAGAAATAGTAGATTTAAACCGCATAAACTTCTAAGAAACTGCTATTTAAATTTTTTGTTACACCGACTTTAAACGAATGCAGTGAGAAACACGTTTTTGTAATATAAATCGTGTATTTTGCTAGCTCGTTTTGCTAATATGACTGGTATGGGCTTTGTGACGAAAAAGAATAAATACTCGTTTTGCGGGTACACCATTCGAAATTGTTATTTCTCCGCGGGCCGCAGTTTGCACACCCCTGCTCTAGACAAGAAACACTCAGAACTCACAAACAGTACTATCAAAAAAACAGCAATAACACAAACAATTATGGTTCAAAAGCAAACAAAGGAAACCACACAAATAGACGAACTTCAACCCAACCACATCAGTTAGACCGACAGTTCGGAGATGGTATGAATTAAATTACCATAGCATCTAAATCAGTTATAGAAAACTTAATTTTAAAATAAATTAAATTCTTGTGATCTTTATATTTACAGTTATACCTTGTATTGTTTGAAGAAGTTAGACCATGATCTAACGAAAGCTCACAAATATACTTACTATTTCGTTGAAAGAGATCATGTTATTATTATTTTTACTATTCGGTATTCGTTAAGAATATTCGATTCGAAAAAAATATTCGATTTTGCCCACCCCTAATAGCGACGTAATCAAGTGATCGACTGTCATAATGGCGACCGCATTAAAACAGCGACTAACTCGTGTTCACTGAGTCGAATTTCCTGGTTGGGAGGTAACACTATGTTGTGTCACATTAAATGTAAGGTCGTTAGGGTTAGGGTTTGTCACTCGCTGTTTTAATGCGGTCGCCATTATTACAGTCGCTATTTGGACCTACGGAAAAAAGTATTCAGGTATGAATCAATGGGCATTCGGGAATTATCTGCCACTAAAAGTATCGAGACTGACACAAAAATGCCAGTTAATTCAACATATTTAATTTTATAAAAACTTAATGGGAAAATAGAGTTTTAACAAATCTAAAATATTGGCAATGCAAACATCCTATTAGCCTAGTGTTTGGACTTGGCTGCGTTGACATGTCTGATTAAAGAACCCAGATCATATCCCCCCACCCAAGTTCAATCACCACCTCACCCTGAGCGTTTTAAACAAGAATATTTCAAGTCCTTTCGGGCAATATAGAAGTTCCATATTCATCATTGTATGCTTGTTCAGGGCAATGAAAGCCACAAAAATTATCGGAAAGGCCTCCAAAATATTAATTATAGCAGCCACTGATATCTAACAATATGTATGAAGGGAGCTACTATTTATTTGAAAGGATTAAATTCTTTACGGCTTGGCATTGCCTACCCAATCTTACACCCTGGGAGCACCTGAGACGTGTAATCTGCGATGCCAGCAGTTAAGTATTATGCTTTGACAGCCTAGGCCATTTTACTTATTTAATGATATGCCCATACAGGAATGGCACAAGTACGATTCTGAATATTAAATTGTCTCATAATTTTAATATTTTCATCGGTTCATTATTTGTGATATTTGATCAAGAATATGATTTACACAATGGCTGCAATGGAATTATTGTTTTGGTCTTTGATGTAGTTTCAATGAAGTTCAGTATCCTATGCAGTACAATCAGTGTTGCAGGAAATGTTAATTGTCTTCCACTCATGCATTTGATCTTCTTACTCTCCATGACTTTAGCTGAGAAAGGCAAAATAATTAATACAAGAAGGAATGGGATAAAACTAGAATTTGTCAATCTGTGCACTATGATAGGGCAGTTTATTCAAACAAGGTATGATTTCGTTATATTTCTTATATCTATCCAAGCTCCGCTTTTTCCAAACTAAAAAAATTTTCTTGTCACTGGTAAAATCCCAATATGTCTGATATATATTAGTCATTTACAAATCAGTGGATTTTTGTACAAAGTCTTGTACAGAGGTAAAAGCGTAGAATAAAAAACTTTTATTTCTATATTGTTCAAATCAACATATCATACACATAGTTGTTTTGTCACCACTGTAATAGTGAAATGGCAAAGAAATTACTTGAAATCAAAAAATGGATGGAGGTAGAAAAGTGGCCTTGGACTTAAATTTTCAATAAAAACTGCACAGCACACAGAATGTCTCATTAAAGATTTGGATTTGCATTTTGGAAGCTTTTAAAACCATGTGATACTATCTATGACTTCTATAGTACTTTTTGATGTTCTTTGGGCCGGGCGTTCCAAATTAAACATTTGAATCAAATAGTAAATAATTGGAATTTGAAAAAACGTCATGTAAACATGCAACCCTTTGCCTACTTCCGATACCAATGTAAGTTCATTACACAATTCAGTTTCAAATAATGATTATCTTGTTATTTCAGGAATTAAAGACAATTTACTCGTATATGGATGCATGTTGGGGAAAGTGGGTACAGCGATATTTTGCCAGAGTGTAAAATTAATAAAATTATCTCACTGGTATTGAATCATCAAACTTAAATCCTTTTGCCTTCAATGCTTCTATCAGTTTTCTTGTATGGTCTGAATCTGGATATCCATTGCTGAAAAAAAAGCAATTTAAGAAATCTGTTCGAATAATTTTCGATTCGATTTCGAATATTTGGTTCGCTTGGACAGCCCCGTTTACAGGAGACAATAGTGCCAAGAATTGGTAAACATTGCGATACAAAACGAACACTTTTTTGCAAACACAATAATCAGTATTTGTCATTTATCAAGCTAAAGGATGTAAAAACCACCTAAAAACTTACTAAAACCTGCAAAAGTAATTCTTTATCTACATTTGGTGTAAGATTTCAAACTCTTCATAAGGAAACAATGTTTCCGCAAATGTGAATGCTTTCCGAACATTGCTAAGATTTTGGAAGAAAAATCTTAACCTTTGAGAATGCTCATCGATAAGATTCTAAAATTCTGTTTTAAATTATATTCTTTTGTCACAGACATATCGAGCAAGCATGTGGTATTTTCCCTCCCACATCCAGTTAAAAATCTGTTTGAATTCATCAGCCTCCTTTCAAACTCATGTTCACAAAATAACTTACAAATAATCGCAGATTGATTGATTACCAAATTTGAGGCATATGACGGTAATTACTAAATTTTTTGACATATTGGCAGAATTTTTGTAATACTGTTTGGGCTGGTTGCAAAAAACACCCAGCATAAATTATATTGTTAGGCCATAACATTAATATTTAGCTATCAGGCATAGCCAACCTTGACTAATAGAATCCGCATTTGACTTTTAGTTTTCTATGATGCAAAAATTGTTAGCATATATTTGCAATCAATAACTTGAGACTGCTAAGCACATCATTCCACTTTGCTAGTTGCATCAGCTAACCATAACATTGGTCAATTTAGTGACATTAATGAAGTAACAATTGTCACAAAAAATTTTATGACGAAACAACATCAAATGCGATTTTTTGATTACTCTCCGAATGCGACAAGGGCCACAGAGAATGAAGCTGCCCTGGGTTTGGACCACCCTGATCTAATATATTTAATAGATAAGAGTCGTGGTCATAATGGTTGAGTGGTTATGTCTGGGATCTTTAGATCAGACCCTGGTAGATTATAAACATTGTCCAAATCAATTCCATATATTGATGTGTTTAGTTTTCTTCTAATCAAAGTTCTCAAAAATTGAAATATTCGAAACAATTTTTAGAAACTTTTTCATGCCCTTTAGGCTTAGAAAATCTCGAAAATTAAATACCAATGTCATTATCGACAACTAAATGTACCAGGGCGAATCCCATTTTATGTTTAGTTCCCACAAATTACGACTTGGCAACCAAAATCCGAACTTTAAATTGTGTTGTAGTTGCAATATGCAGGGATAACAAAATTTTAAAATTAATTTTATTCTTTCGTACCTGCCACCATTTTGTAAAGTGCCATAAATACCCATCAAGCATAAAACACACAAAGTACTTACATCTCTGGTCTCCCAGTTTTATTAGTCTTATGAGGAAACTTATCGTTCCACACAATTTTTCCTCTTCTGTCACCAACTTCCTGAATCTTGAAAATCAATCCTGTATAGAATGCTTGTTCGAGTAAGTTGTGACACATAAATCCATTATTAGTATCTGGCAAATATTCAGTGAATTCTTGAGCTTCATATGAAACTCCCTGAAATAACAAAACATTAACTAATTATCTTCCATAACTAATTATCTTCCTGGGGATTTGTTGAAACTGATATAAATATGAGAATATCTATGAAGATTCAGCAAAAGTCAAAAAAATTACCATCAACATACTTGATATTTCCATTTTCAATAAATTACTTCAACTTGACAACTCGATAACTCAGATATATATTGAAAACAGGACTTAGGAGGAGGCCTACTTATCAGCTATGTCATGATTTTACTGCACCATAAATGAACTAAATTCTATGAACATCTGTAATTAAACAAATAACAGTTCAATATTACCCAGGTTTCAACAAGCACGATCTATATATTTAACTGTGTTATGATCTTTTTTTTACAATGACAAACCATTCAAAGCTTCGATTTCAATTAGAACTGAATTCCATCAGCATATCCAGTTTAAAGTAAATATTACTCATTTATTATTAATTATTACCCATTAACAAAGCATGAACAAGACTCAATCCATATTAGCATCATACAAAATAATGCCTGATTCTTTATATTTTTGTGAGAAGCAATAACTCATGTGAGTGAATGCAAACATTTAGCCATGCTGCTTTCAAGCTTCTTGGCTGTGAAATGGCCTAACGGTCAACGCGTTAACTATGCTTAACTATGCTGACATCACATATTGAACATCTCGGTTCAAACCCAGGGTGAAAGAGGTGCATAGGAAATGTGGAACCAAAAAATCCTAATCGTTTGAAATAATAATATCTCTTTAAATGTCATGAGATGTCAATGGCTGCTTGTATAGGACCTTGTTCAGAACAGAAGGCATGAATAAGGACAGCATGAAAAAGTGATAGACAGTACTATTGCTAGGGATGTCTTTGTTATTTAATCAAAATAGCCATATTTGAAGAATTTATGAAACCAAAAAATATGACTGAAAACAGTTTATTTTCCATCGAAAGTTTTGTTCACATGTTCTATCAGGTCAATTTTGACATTCTAATGATTTTACTTCTCAATTTCGAAATAAGATATATATTTGTAACCAGTGGCACAGTCAGGGGTTTTTGGCGTCCCCCCCTTTTGAATTTTTTTGAAAACTGAAAAAATCGCTGATAACGCGTACCAATGCCTTCTGCTGAAATGGCGGATTGTTTTCATCGGCGTGGCGTGTTATTTAGGCCGTAAACGCCTTTACATTGGTGTTTATTCTCTCTAAATCACAAATTTGGGCCACGGTAACGATGATAAATATTTTATTTTTGTACTTTATTTTTACACGGAATTGTGAATTCGGTGAGAGTTATTATACGTTCATCGACGGCGAGATTCTAAGACAAATTAAGGAGTAACTCCTTGATCTGGATTTTTTGATTGAAAAGCGGCAATATAAAATACTGAAAATAAAACGGTAAACAATATAAGTTTTGTCGAGTCCCGCAACAGTCTAAAAACGCTTTTCTAGGCATTGAAAATCGCAAAATTTTGTGCTTAGTCCTGGTTTAGAAACACATCGTCACTAAAATTGAAGCACGGTCAATTGTGGGTGGAATTCACGTTTTTATCGATTACTTTGAAATTGTCGTCGAAAATGTATGTGTTAACATTATACAAGGTTGGAAACGCGTCTTTTCCCCGGTTTGTGATGTTATATAAGATAAATAATCTAAAGTACATTTAAACAATTTTCATTGTGCTGAAATAAAACTTTGTGAGATTTTACAGCAAATTTACAGATTTTTCGGAACGTTTTATCTTTAAAAATAATCGGTGTCGCAGCATTGCGATTGAGCGAGGTCAGTGTTACAGGTACATCTCAAATTTGTCGAATTCGCAAAAAAACGGAATTAAATTAATAAAGCAAGACATTTTAAATATGCCCCTACCAGTCATGAATTGACTACTTTGCACAAGAGAAAAATCATTTTTTGGTGAAAAAGTCGGCTCTTTTAACAAGTGGCGTAATCACGGCGACTGTTCGGCGTGGATTTCGGGGCGTTGAATTTGTATTTTTGATTTACTGGTATACTTTATATGTATATTGATTGTATGAAATAAAATTGTACTAAACGGGATTTTATATCAGATATCGAGATTTTAATAACAGCGATAACGAGTTCGCAAGATTACAAAAATACGTATTAAAATTAAATACATCAGGCAGCTTATCTCATATTTTTACGTCCAAAAATCGCTGTTGTATTTTACTGTAGGAATATTTTTATTTTGACGTAAGAAGTCGCAACCGCGAGTTTCGTTGGACACAATGAATTCAATATATAAGGCGGCTCTATTAACGGGCGCGTCATCGTGGTGACTGTTAAAGACAACACTGGGAATTTCCCAATTTGACCCAATCCCCCCCCCCCCCCTTTTGAAAATCCTGGCTGCGCACCTGTTTGTAACCACTCAATGAATCGATTCAAGAAATCCATAATTACAATAATTGCACCAAAGAATTATAGGATATCCAACTTTTAGGTTGTGGCCATTCCAGAATATTACTTTAAGCAAATTGTGATTCTTCATTCATTGCACTGGTATTTTATTCAAGAAAGATATTTCCATTGATTTATGTTAAAATATGTTGGAGTGGAATGGAGATTGATAATAGGAATAAAAAATTGATTAAGAATTTTGATTCCAGTAAATCTATAATTTATTTTCCAACCAACAATTAAATATGTTTCATAACTCACCTTCAGACTTCCAGCAGGAAATGAGTAGGTGATGGCAAGAGTCTCCTGTCCTTCATATCCTGGCAGTGATTCTCGCAACAAATCCCATAACATCCTGCCAACAGATGGTTGTTGGTTGATGATTCTTAGACCAAAAGTAGTTTGCCTTGAACACTGAGATTCTGCACCTGGATTAATAAAACCATGAGTGAACCATGAGAAATGGCTGATTAAAGAGACTTAATGATATTCAAAAGGTGATGTAAAAAATATTTATTTAAAGAATGAAAGTTACGATATATATTACAGATTACACATCTGAGGTTCAAACCTAATACCCCACTCATGCCTAGTGTGTAATAAATTGGGTTGGCGACCCCCGAAATATTCAAGGCGACCCAACTTGGGGTCGAGACCCACACTTTAGTGACCACTGCCTTACAGGGAAAAATCTGGTTCTTGAAAATAACATATCAATAGATATCAGTGGCTGCAAGTATATGCCCTTGTTTGAAACATATTAAAAAATGATTGTTTAAAATTTCTGAGATTATAATGTAAAAAAACAACACTGACATGGGCAGCTTAAAATATGTATTTATTCATTTATTTATTCAATAACATATGCCTCTATCAGGGGCGTCAGTTAGCCAAATTATTATCAAATTACTGTTATCGACGAATGTATTTGGCTTGTTAATATGTTAATGGAAACTTTTTTGTGCTTGGGTGCATTAGCCATTAATTAAATGTGGAACCTGAAAATGCATTTGATTTCGAGTCTTGGTTTTTTACTTGAACACCACTAAGATTCTGCAACTAACCCTTTATAGCATAGATACTGTTTAGTATTCATAAACTCACAGGAAATGCCTGTGATAGAGTAATAAGAAAAATCGATTAAAATTTCGAACCATGGCCGCTCGTCGGATTAATTATCAGTCCTTGTGGAGTATGGGATTAGATAGCCAGGTATTTATTTTCAGATGCATGTACTTGATGGTGGAGGATGTCACACCCAAACAGCGGTTACATAAACTACCTTACGACAGCAATCCAACAGTCCTCTCATACATAATTAACTCACATGGAATTCAATCCTGTTGACCCACGCATGGTAATCAGAGGTGCGATTGTGAGCGTATTCCAAATGCTCAGCCACATCACTGAGCCAATTAGCAGTCTCTTCTGCATACAGCCCGCAATTACCAATAACAATCTAGAAATCTAGCAAACCTTTCTTTTCAGTTTTAAGCTTTTTAATCTCAATTTCCATTTTCAACTTTTCTGCTTGCACCCGCTTCATTTCTTTTTCATGCTTTCTTCGCAATCTTTCTGACTCTTTTCTGACGTTTCGAATTTCTTTTCCTGTAATTATAAGACCCTCAATGTTGAGACAAGTTTAAACAAACTGCGAGTTTTAAAAATTAGAAAAAAAATTGGAGGCCTAGCAATGTAAACATTTATTTTTATGTGGCAAACTTATAATATGACCTGCGCTTTGGTCACATATTTTATCAGAGAAAGTAAAGCTGTGTACATGAACAAATTGCAATTTCTGGTGATGTGGTGCTTTTGATGGCAAAATCAACAAAAAAATAAAAAGATACCCAAAACAATCGTCATATTTCTTTTTTCTTGTTCATTTTCATGTTCCATCTGCTTCATTTTTTCTTCAAGCTGTGTTTTCATTTTTTCAGACTCTCGCCAGACTTTCACAATTTCCGTTTTGTAAGTTTTTGGTACTGTGAGACCTGAAAGTATTGATATCATTCATTTACACATGATAATTAGTAATAAATGTCAGTCTAAAAATAACTGAAATTGATATGTCAAACAAACTAGAGGATTCACAAACACTAATATATTCTGGATATAATTTAGGTTTCGGTTTGAATAATTCATGAGAATGAATGTACGATGATAAACTTTGGTTACAGTGTAACAAAATTAATCTTCTACAACTTTCTGATATAATTTTTAAAATTTTATTCAAGTTGGAACTAACGCAGTGACATGTTACGTACTTAACTTGGGGTAAGGACAAACAAGTTGGCCACGAAAGTATTTATGCTTCCGAATTTGTTCGGTATTTGGACGATCCTGTGGTCGGAATCTGAGCATCCAACCAACCAAATCCTCTAGATCCCCTTCTAGTTTGCTCAGGTCACATCCTTGATATCGTTTGATATTGAGATTCCATGAATCTGGGTCATTACCGAATGGGTGGGAACCATCGGTCGATATGAAATGGATTACGAGTGCGGAAGAAAATATGTCCGATTGTTTAGAACAAATGTCAGAAAGGTATATTTCCGGAGCCCTCCAACCATCAGTGCCAACACGTAAAGTGCTCATTTTGGTTAAAAAATGTCCTTTTCTTAATTGTTTTCCCAAACCAAAGTCAATTATTTTGAGAATTCTACCATTGTCCGATACCAAGATATTATCTGGTTTGAGATCTCGATGTAGAACTTCGTTAATGTGGATATGATCGACAGCTTCAACAAATTGTTCTATTTGTTTATGTTTGACTTCGTCAGTCTTAGGCTTTGGATCGTCTTTGACAAAGTCTGTCAAGGTTTTAGATTTAAAGTATTCCATTGCGATGAATAAATGTTCTATTGGACCAAAGAAATAAGTCCCAGATTGGAGGACAGTTATCACATTTGGGTGGGAGCGAAGCTTTCGGATGATTTCCACTTCTTTCCTATTTTCATCGCTGAGTTTGATAGATTTTATGGCGATTGTATCGAATCCTCGAGAACCTTTATGAGTCTGCAAGCCTCTGTAAACTTCACCATACTTTGCTAGTCTTTCATTATAAAGCAGCAACAGGTTATGATCGACGCGAATTGAATCTGTAAAACATAAAATATTATGTCTTTGATAGATAATTTGAATTGTGTGTGAAACACATCGAGTACAAATCTACAAATCTAGTATTTTTGTACATCTAAGCCACTGGGGGCTAAATACTAAATACACACATTTCCTGTAGCGCGAATGCCACATTATTTTCGCCTAAGAACAATCGCCACATGAAACTTCATATCATGGTGCAATTGCACACTCTATTGCTGTGTTAAAAAAAGCCTGCCACAACGGGACATGTATGACGTTTTTTTAATAAATTATCTAACAATGCATTGGTTTTATTTACTTATCATCAATATGAAGGATGATGCTGTGTCTGTGTTATGGCCAAAATGTTATAATCAATTTGCAACTCCGTTGCCGAGTGGTACATTGTCCAAATAATAATCTGACGAGCGAGTACAAAAATTTAATCTCAGTGTAATGCATTTTACATACAGCTGTCTGTAGAAATATATTCTTTCGAACGTGCACATCAAATTTAGTCTTGGCACAAGGTTTATTATTTTCCACTGTTGCTTCTCTAACACTGTAAACATTGTTTATAAAATGAGACTCATTACGTCATACTACATGGCCCGCCAGTCTAGGTGGGCAAAATTTTTTGGCTCTTGATCCAAAAACCATGCCCACCCTTGATATAAACACATACATGCAAAGTTTGTGTCTACATCAGCCCAAAAGTTTCCTGGGAAAGGTAGAATCCACCCAAATCGTGTAAACTTACCTTCAAAATGGAATGGTATTTCTCCTTTTGTTTCATTTTCTACTGCATCATTAGACTTTGCTGCCTTTTGCTTGGTTGTTGAGGTTTTTTCATATGTATTGCTGCTTCGATCAAGCGTAAAACCAGAACTTCCAGCAATACTGGTTTCTATATTGTCCCCTGTTGAGATAAAGCACAATAGTCAGATTGGTATTTATTTATTATTTACTGTAAAAAAAGTTTGGTTGAAACATGCTATTATTGTACAAATATTCCTCTATGAGTATTAGACAAATTAAATACTACAGTTCTTTCTTAATTTTTAATGTTTTTTTTTATTTACCTATTTTTAGTTTTTCAATTAAGCTCCATTGTTACAAAAGGGGCATTTTCTTGGCTGTTGTTATTTCAGGCATGGCTGGAAGTAACTTCGTACGAGCCAAAAAATATGACAAATAAAATTAACAAAATTTCACTATTTCGCATAAAATATCAAATGAAGGATATATAAAATGGTTATTGAATTGCAGAAAAATTTATTTGTACTTGTATTTATTCACCCCAAATTAGGTAAAATGTGATCTATGTAATATTGACCAAAACAAATATTTTGAAATATGCTTTTATTTGTGGTCTATAGACCAGTGTTTCCCGACCCGAGTCCGCGGTCTCAAATGAGTCCGCAACGAATCAGAAATTCACTGCTGGCCGCGAACGTTTTTGCGAAAGTTAACCATCAGCCAAGTTACGATTCAGGTTAAAATTCACATAAAACATAAAAAAAAAAGTTCATTCACATAACATTAATCAATTCCATTATTACTATGTTACTGAGTATGGCTGGGCATATATTCGAATATTCAACTATTAGAATAGCAATTCACTATTCGGAAATTTGATACCAGGTGACGCGACTGGTCAAAACGATTGGATTTCACAACTCACTAGCGCATTTCCGACGAATACACGACCACATGCGTGGTGTTTCTCGCGAGTGCGAACAACAAGGTATAAATTTTTTCTAGTAGGTGTCAATGGGGGCAACTCAAATTTTCTAAAATGAAAAGCAGCAATACAAAATACTTAAAATAAAACGGAGAACACCATAACTTTTGTTTTATGATTGTACGCGACCGATCAAAAACGCTTCTTTAGAAATTGCAAATCGCAAAATTTCGGGTGACACCGTGTATGTACCAGGGCATTTTCCCTAAGGCCTCCACATTGGTACGTACAGTACTGTAGCGCCGTAAGTGTTGTACAAACAGCTCAGATTTGTTGAATTCACAAAAATACGAATCAAAACAAAATATAATTGGGCACTTTACAACGCATTTTTGTGTCCACGAATTGTCATGATATTTTCTGAATAGTATTGCGTTTATTTCGTCAACACAACCGCAGATTAAAATGATCACCATTAAACTAATATTAAAGCAAGGCGGTGAATATGTATTTTTGATTTACTAATATACTTTAAAAAATATTTTTAATAAGTACTAAATCAAGTTGTACTTTCTGGAAATTTATAGCAGATAGGATTTTTCTAACGACGATAACAAATCTGCCAGATCTCTAAAAATATGTATCAAAACTAAATATAATCGTGCGATATGTTAGCAGATTGCTGTGGTATTTTGAAGAAGTAATGCTATCATCTTGTCATAAGTCGACGCAACCGCGAGATACCATTAACACAATTAAAACAGAAGACATTTCAAGACAGACATTTAAATTCTCGTCGTTGTCATGGATTGAATATAGTGCGACAGAAAGGCCATTATAAAATAAAAAGTCGTCTCTTTTAACGGACTCGTAATTGCGTCGAATTTTCGATTTTGATTCACACAGAGTACGGTTGCAATAAACGCACCTTGAGTCCGCAAAGGTTTTCGCTGATGAGAAATTAGTCCGCGACCAAAAAAGGTTGGGAAACGCAGCTATAGACATAAATTAAATCAAATAATTAATTAATCTTTAGGATAACAGTGAACAAAACGGCAGACCTTATTCTCACCTTCCTTAATATTTTGATTGAAAACGAAGGTTGGAGCTACCACAGTTCCATGTTTTTCTGAATGTTTCACGAGACTTTGAAGAATATTTTTACCAAATTCTTGTACCGTCCCAGGCATCGAAGGCCTCGATACTTGTAATGCATTTCGTACTGGAATTTGATCGTTTGCATCTGAAAATTCTACAGATTCATCTGAGGAATCGGCAGAATCGATTTCTCGTATTTTACCAGATTCAGCCATTTTACCAATTATGGGAACAAAATATTAGATGATATGTTTTGAGTATCAGCCTTATCAGACTGTGCTATTTAGTCTAAAACAAAATATGATAATTTAAGTAATAAGTAATGAACAGTTATGATAAGTAATTGAACAGTATTCATCATAGTAATGACTTCATTTTTTGACAAAAATGGGAAGGGATATCGATATATAGCTTTACAAATTTATGTAAGCAACAATGAATCCAACAATTATTGTACTTTATTATTTCTGCTTCTAGTGTCCTAGTTTATTTCAAAAACGAATACCTTTGGTTAGACAAAACGTTACAGAAATACATTTGTGTTATTGTGCAGCAGAACACATGGTGTAGTCTAGCTACAACATCCTTCCAATATGCGCTTAAAAAAAGTTAGCCTCCCCCTCAACACATAACACGACAAGTTTCCTTTATCCATATTTGGGTCTGGCCCTGCCCTAGTTATAATTTATATGACATCGAGTAAATAAAATATTCTGCACTATTATCAATTAAAACTAGCTTGCAAACCACAGAGCAATAAATGATTGTTCCACCACAGTTTGCAAACTGAAAATGCTCAGGTATGTATATAAAATCGATGAATATTGCAGTACTCAAAATGAATATAAAAACTTCAATTTATTTTGATAGGATTTCGATTGATATTTTATTGACAAAATCAAATAGCTTGTTGCAGCAATAACTTCAAATAGGCCTCGCTGATGTTGAGGCAAATGTTGCCAATATATGATTAAAATTTAGAATTTAAAACGTACTTTCTATAAAGATACCTGTACCTATACGGAGAAGGAATGCGCCATTTCACTTTTTCAAACCTGTTGCTAACAACCAAGGACATTTTTTGCGCAGATGTCTTGCGCATTTCAAATTTATTCATGCAAATTATCGCGTCATTATAGCTAAAAACTCGCATTTATTTATTTTCAAGATTATATATCTGGAGTTTTTAAAATGTGGATCGTATAAAAATGCGTTGACACGTCTTCTCAAATTTCAATACATATTGTGTTTCAATGTCAATATCAAATTATAAAAAATGACGTGCTTTCAGCCATTCACGTGCAAGCAAATTTGTGATACACTAAGGTCGCAAGGTGGCGGTCAACACCGATCGACCTTGGAAAGTGATACCTGACTCGTGTCTCCGCTGAAAAAAATTCAAGATAAAACGGGATTTTCATATTTATCCCAAGATAAAAAATCCGAATGACGACAAATAAGCCAATAACCACGTGCCGAACAACGTCTCCGAGATAGTAATCTACGTAAGGTATAGGAATAGTCAACCACCGGACTACTACCCCACGACTTGGTCACCCTGTGCGTTCGGGCACGGTTTTAAATACTTTCATCGCTTTTTAAGCTGATAAGAAATAAAGGTAGAAAATAGAATCCACTACAAACCATTTAACCGTATTCAAAACTCAGGTGATCACTGACGATTTTTATGGCGACGGTATCACCATCAGGGGCGATAGAGAGATGTTTTTGAACGAGATGTTTTTGAACGAGTTCGCCGACTTAGCTTTAGTGAAATATTTCCGGTATCTGTTAGAATACCGGTAGTCTACTGTCCAAATTATCAACCTGGCAAGCGAATTTGTTAGAAAATATTTTATATCTGACAAAGCAGCGAAATACGAAAATAACACACATCCAGAAGGCTGTCACCTTCCGTGTTAGTATGACTATCGGGACCGGTACCAGAAAAAGAAAAGATATCAAGTAATTTAATTCCATGCTGACGCTTGATATTTGGTCACAAGATTGAAGGTATAATATTTTAATAGTACTAGATAAAATATATAAAATTTTTGTTACTGCAAGAAGGTTTATAACTTGCAGACATAGGTTGTGGTACAGAATATTATGGAAATACAGTTCGCAGTTTGTTTTTCGCCAAACCTAAATACAGAAATAACAATTTTTATTGAATAGTACACCAATTAAAATCCCATGGGGTGGGATGAGACAGAAAAATATGTCCGATGGACAAGGCTGGTCTTCGGGTAGAATGGATCAAATGCGCATGAAATGTAAAACTTGTACGGTACCGGTACTTGAAGACTTGTCGTAATTTAATGTTAATAAAATCAACATTTCTTTTCAATGCGCCGTGATTTGTTTCAATTAAAGTGATTGTGTGGGGAGTTTGAAAACAAGAAGTTCAAGATATATTTCTTATCATTATTCTCTCCATTCCAGGACTATAGAGGTTTCCCAAACTGCTTTCAACTCAGCCTGAAGCACAATTCAAGGAAGTTTGATTGAAATGAATAAAGCTGCTGGACACGGACTCTACTCTAGTCTTGGGTATGAAAGATATTTTATATCAAGATTTTCTAACTCATGTTTTCACTCTTTGTATTTGTGACATTCCATGACAAACACTCGAAACTAAATAATTAATGCAATGAAAATAAAATTTAAATGGTTCAAAGAAATTTGTCCAAAATGTTCTGGCTGAAACAACTAAATCAATCGGATCAATAACCTTGCAATTAATATGAATTTCTTTCCCTTCTCCCGTTTTAGGTTCTGTACTGTTATTGTCCAACCTTACTTTTCCTATTCTAATCTATCATAGTTGGGTCTGATTCAGGATTTTGAAATTTTAAATATGAAAACCTTGCATTCATATACTTTTTTGGGGTGCTATCATATTATTGGCCCACCAGTGAGCTAATCCTAAGTAAGTATTAGTTAGATGAGGCAATAGCAAGACATAACACACTGCGATAATGGACTGGTTTGAACTTCTAGATCAGCCCTAATCAGCCTAGTATTAAGCGAATGTTTCACGGGTGCTTGTCTACTGTCTTGCTTAGAGATCAGAAATAAAAACCTTGATCAAATCAAAAGTTTTTGCATTCTGCATGAAACAAATCGCAGGTACTCCTGTAGTATGTTCTGGTGTCCGCCATCTTGGTTCGCATACTACAGGAGTACCAAATTGCACTGTAAATAAATTGCATGAAATATCATATGGTAAATAAATTTGGATTTTTAATTTCAAGGTAGCAAGAATATATTGCGATCCAATTCGCTCCAACATGAAAACGATGAATTGCGACAAAGTTTGACCGACCACCAGAACGCATTGGAACTTATCATGGCCAAGCAAAGACAGCAGATGATGAAGTTTACCAAGCACCAAAAGTATGGATATTTTTCAGGATCCCAAGTTTAGGAAAGTTAATTGTTTTACTAATTTATTTTTAAAGGTTTAAAATACCATGTATCTAAAGCAAATAAGAAAAACTTGCTAACTAATCCCATATTATGTAATGTTGATATGTAAATTAGCTTTAATATACCGTATATGCTCGTTTTACCGCCCGATCTTGATTGAGGGCCCATTTGAATAGCCGCCTGTGTGAACAGAACATAAAAATAAATAAGGGCCGGTGCTTGAATACCCGCCCGATGTAAAAGCTGATTTTTCAGTGGTACAGAACAATAGGAAATAAGAAGCGCTTTTGTCACAACGCTGTTAAATTTGAAGTGCTGGTAGATAACACTCACACCTTAGGCGTCCAATTACATAACAGATAGCATTGATTACATAACACCGTGGTTCTCAAACTGGGCGTCGCGACGCCAAAGTGCGTCGTTTTAATATTGATAGGGCGACGCAAAACTTTTTTTCTTTTGCGGATTTATACCTGGGGTGCGTAGAAAAAGTCAAAATTTTTGTTATTCTCATTTAAATCATCAAGCGCCCGTGCCTGGATAAGGGCCGGTTTGAATAAGGGCACGTTTAGTGAGTTTGGTTAAAAAAATATGGGCCCGGGCTACAAAACAAGCAAATACGGTATTCTTATTGTTGTGCACAAGTCACACTCCAGCTTTTTCTACACTTATAGTTTATAATGTCATAGCTAATCAAATCAGTAATAATAGTAATGATAAAGAGTTCCGCACCAAATTCCGAAAAGTCCACCTTGGTTGGGAAAAGAAGCTCCATAGTATTTTGAATTGTTTTAAACTTCTCAGGGCCCTGGATACACAATAGTTAACTAATGAATATTCTGGTTAGACTTTTTTTTTAAATATTTTAAAGGCACAGATCATAAAAATATTGTTCACATCAGTAATGCTGAATGTCATATCAGAAATATTTTAAATTCAAAAGAGGAACGTTTATGTGGGCTACACTGCAACATTCAAACTTATCAATGCTCTCTAACATACACTTCCAAATGATTTAATTTCATCTTTTATCCCAGGATCATGACAGCGCTGCTGAAAGTCTTGCCGAACTCAAGAAAGAGATGGAAGCAAAAATCACATATCAAGAAAATTTGATTGAACTGAACAAAGTTGCTGGACACAGACCAAGGTCTACTTTAGTCTTAGGTTCGACAAATTTTTACAAGAACCAGTACTAGCTTTGCTCATGTTTGTAAAGCAATATTTATTCTATTATCTTTACCTGTATGATTTTTCCGGACATCAATTGATCGTTTTCTATTTTGTAACAAACTCTGCATGAACAGAAAAATTCAATTTGAAATTAATTAAGAACTAGTCTAAAATCAGTGGTTATTTTAGATCAAGGGTGCGCAATAGGAAGCCCGCGGGCCACAACCCGGCCCACCAAGCCGTTCAGTGTGGCCCTCGTCAACGCTCGGATTCTCCCTATCAAGCATAAAATTCGAAACCAACAGTTTATGTTTAAAAAAAAATTACATCTTTTCGCTGCGTTAAATCTTTGCTGTTTTGCCGGTGCCTTTAATACTGTAAGGCCATATTATTTTCTCTTGCATTTTTCACATGAATAAACTAATTTTTTGTGTGGCCCGGCTAATTGTATGAAGTTGGGTATATGGCCAACCGACAAAAAATGTTGCAGGCATTTGCTTTAAAAGGTATAAGTTTTGAAGAGAAAAAATATAAATATTGATCCAAAATTGTAAATAATACTTCTGATGGGAACAAAATTATGTTTGCCAAATTCCTATTTTTATCTTCAAGGTATTCAGCAAGAAAATAATGAAATTCGGTACCTACAACATGAAAACGATGAATTGCGACAAAGTTTGACGGAACACCAGAACGCATTGGAACTTATCATGACTAAGTACAGACAGCAGATGATGGAGTTAACTAAGCACCAAAAGTATGTGGATCTTGTCAATGTATTTCATAATCTCAGGGAGAGGAAAGTCTATTGTTTTACTATAAAATGGCTGTATTATTACTAATAAACTTTCAATTGAAGTTTCAATCATTCAGAATACCTTATGGTTCTAATACGAACAATCCTATTTCCCGTAGAAATGGCAAATTAAGGTTTTATCCTAGGCTTTGGCCAGTTCAGTGCAGCGGCTTCAAAAGTTCACATTCAAATGCGACAGGCTATATAATATTATGTACAGGGTGTCCATGAAGTCCCTTTACAATTTCAATTTTGTTGTGAAGTCAGTTCTCAATATATCTAACTAATTTTTTTTTAAATCGGTAATTGTTTAAGTATTGTTACTCCATTTAATACATCTGTGAGGGCCGAAACAATATATGGTATCGATAAATTTCTTTCCAATTTTAAAAAATTTTACGACTTTATGGACACCCTATATATTGTTTGAATAATATCGAATACTTGTACTTGTATTTAGAACAAAATATACTTATAATTAGATTTAACATTATTATCATCCTTGCTACACTTTAAATTTCACTATGTTTTGCAAGTATTAGTGTTAAGTATTGTACTGGGTACCTTGAGCCTATGGAATGTTCCATTGGGGTTCCACTTCACCAAAAAGGTTAAGAACCAGTGGATTAGGCATATTGGACAGACAATTCTAAAAGCTAAGAAGAACACATTATAGCATGGGGTGTGCAACCTTTTTAATACAGGAGGTCCAGATAGAAATAACTGAGCGAAACCTGTTACGGCATTGTAAAGTCGTAGGCATGTATAAACTAGACTCAGGTATTGGCTTCGCAACGCACAGGGATTGGAATTACTCGCACGTACCAAGTTAAATTTATTTGAAAACTGATTTCGCGATCCGCATATCATTCAAAATAGCCACTCTTGTGGGCCGCATTTGGCCCATGGGCCAGTCGCAGGTTGCACACACCTGCATTATAGTATTTGTAAATTAATATTAAAAATCCAAAGCCGTATAGCTGAATAATATTCACAATGAATAATTACTAAGTTTTACTTGGCTTCAAACATTTCAACAAAATCAATGAACCGTGACTTAGCAGCATTAATAAATTTTATTTATATCTTTCGTTTTCAGCATCCAGATCACTGAAAATGCTTATCAAGCAGAAAAACAATATCAAGAAGAGAATATCGAACTCATTGATAAGGTATTGAAACCAAGGTTACTCTAGTCCACAAATATGTTGTAGTCAGGGGGGTAGTTTTCAAAGGAGAGAGGGGGGGTTCTGAAATTTCTATTTGCCAAGTTTGATCGGAACAGCTAGCGGGTCTGGTCGAACGCCAGAAAACGTGTAACAAGCGTTTCAAGCTACGTAAAATTGCTATGTATGATACAGAAAGATGCTTTTTTTTTTACATTTTGAAAGGGGAGGGGGGGGGGGGGGTTCGACCCCCAAAACCACCCCCTGGCCACACCACTGGTTGTAGTGCTTGGTTATACCATCCCACAGTTCAGTTAGCCTGGCCCACAATTATGGTTGCACATTTCAGTTTAGTGGAAATTTGATTCTTTGGATTGATGTAAAATATATTATTCCCATATCTAAATGCATCAGGTATTTCCTGCTAAAAATCTTGTAATTGCTGCAAATATATGCACTCTGACCACCACAAAATTGTGGCATGGCAAATTGTGTGACATTGAGCATTTTTATATATAATCTCGTAGTAGAAACAGTGTGTACCAATATGGAGGTAACTAATTTTGTTCGCCTATTTTACATCAAGTTGTGTAGAGGAACTGAAATCTATGGGCAGAGGGTATATTCGCTTGGCTAACACAGACAGTCCCCGAACTCATAATAGAACTAAAATAAGGAAAATCGAAATAGAATTATGGCTTAACCCTAACCTGCTACACACACTACGGGAGTATCAAAATGAGCATCCTGATTAATCAAGTTCAGTTTATTATATTTTTGCCACTAATATCCAACAGTATGTAATGGGCTACTATTGTTTGAAAGACTGGAATTTTTCTTAGTTGGCAATCTTGTCAATAGTAATGCTAGCGGTTTGACAATAATTATTCAAGCAAAATATTTCAACCACATGGTGGTGCTGAAGGTTCAATTATTACAAAACAAAATAGATGGCAGTTTTATCTTAAAAAACATTGATTATCTTTCCATGTTTCAGATCCATGAGATGGCTGCTGTGATGAAGGATGCTGCGGATGTTGATGGTGAGCAATATCTCAGAGATTACGAAGAATTATCCCGATTGCAAACAGAAAATGACATTTTAAGAGAAATGCTGATAATATCTAAGAGTTCATTTGGATCAAGACTTATAACCACTGAACAGAAAGATTCTGGAAAGACTGACAAACCAGAGAATGAATCTAAAATGGTGCTCACTGACGATACTACTAGTGATAAGACAAAGTTATACATGGTCCTAACTAGGGCCCGACCGATATATCGGCCGGCCGATATATCGGCCTTGTTTTTCACAAATTTTGAACCATCGGTATCGGCTAATTTTACCGATAGTTATCGGCTAATCACGTGACTGCCAAAGTGTCAAAATTGCGCCGGGAAAGCAGTTTTATCGCTTGTTTAATTCGAGAGCGGTTCTGCGTGAAACTCTTTTTCTTCACTATTTCTATTTCTCTCTTATCAAAAGCGGTTTCACGGACGATTGCGACACGGGATTTCACACTTTGCAAGCAAGTTTGCAGCGTGGTGGCTTACAAATCGAAGCGATAGAACACGTGAACGGCTTATTTGTGTCAAATAATATACGCTAGATCAAATAGAGAATTTTCGCGTAGTTTACACGGCGCTTTATTTCCCTTGCGCTTTAGTTGTTGAAGGTTGCCGGGAAAGCAGTTTTATCGCTTGTTTAATTCGAGAGCGGTTCTGCGTGAAACTCTTTTTCTTCACTATTTCTATTTCTCTCTTATCAAAAGCGGTTTCACGGACGATTGCGACACGGGATTTCACACTTTGCAAGCAAGTTTGCAGCGTGGTGGCTTACAAATCGAAGCGATAGAACACGTGAACGGCTTATTTGTGTCAAATAATATACGCTAGATAGAGAATTTTCGCGTAGTTTACACGGCGCTTGATTTCCCTTGCGCTTTAGTCGTTGAAGGTATTATTTAACTTCTTGTATTGGTATGTTATAGATGGCTGGTTCTAGCGGTAAGAGCAAAGTATGGGAATACTTTGTATGCCACAGTGATGGTGTACTTTGTAAAATATTCTCATCATTGTTAAGTCAAGGTTCCGCCGATTCCAAAAAGAAAAACACCAGTAATTTGTGGAGTCATCTCAGATCGAAACACAAGAGCAAGTATGATGAGATTTCGCAGACGCAGTTAACGCGAAAAAGGCCAGCTGAAGCTTCCCAGTTTAATCGGCAACCTTCATGGGAACACATAATGGATAAATTTAATAAATGGCATGGAAATGACGCAAGAACGAAATCACTTGATAAAATAATAATGGAGATGATAGCCACTGACAACAGGCCATTTGCAATAGTGCAAGATGATGGATTCCGCAGGCTAATAGAAACCATTGAACCTCGCTACGCCCTAAAGACTGAGAAGTATTTCAGAACAGAAATGCTGCCACAAATATATGAACTTGTGAGCCAGAAAATAATGACTCTTCTCGTGACAGAAAATGCTGGCGATGGATTGGCATTTACTACAGACTGCTGGTCAGGACCAACAGAATCACTTATGAGCTTGACTGTTCATTTTATAAATTGTAATTGGGAAAGATTCCAAATTGTATTAAACATCAAGGCCATGCATGGCTCGCATACTGGAGAGTACATAGGAAGAACACATATGTGAAGAAACATCGGTATCGTTATCGGCATATCGGCCTAGTTTTGGAAAACTAGCAGTATCGGTATCGGTTCAAAAAGGCAGTATCGGTCGGGCCCTAGTCCTAACATCATCAATCCTAATTATCCTAAAACTACTCCCCAGACAATTATTTTATTACAATAAGGAGGAAGTTTATGTTCCTTCGAAGGGTGCTCAAGTAGTATGTGTGCCAGGTTCATAATTCATTCAGATTTTCCTTATTTCAGGGCTATTTTGAGTTCGCGACTGTCTGTGTTAGCCAAGTGGATATACCCCCTGCCCATAGGTTTCAGTCCTTTTACACAACTTGATGTAATGTAAGCGAACAAAATTAGTTACCTCCATATTGGTACACATACTTCCGGAGCTTTCCTTACTCTTGTTATTCCTTGTGTTTCAATCGAAACTCAGTATTGAGAAAAGATATCTGGTTCACACAAAGTACTCTGCACAAGGCTGTAGGCTGTCCGAATCCGGGTATTCGATTCGGACCGCGCATAATCCTTCATTTTGGATCATTAGCCCCACTTTTGAAGTTTCCTTTTAGAAAATCACTTTTATAGATTTAAATATATAAGAAAAAAACCATAACGCAATAACAAACAATCTTGATTAGCTAATAATCATTAGTCGGCCGAGGAATCGTGTGCTTGGGGAAGCCGAATCATAATGTCTAGAAAGTCCGGACCCAAATATTTTTGAAGTTTTGTATGTGGACCTCCGGTAAAAATAGTTTAGTAGCCCTGGTCTATATTATTATATTTATCTTGTTTAAATATAATTAAATACACGGATATAATTTGAAAAGTGTGTTTCATGAGAGACTTTCATTTTCTCTACATTAGAGGTAAGATCAGGCTCAAAAACTTCGACCCGGCCAGAGTCCTACTAATTAACTGGATTTGCAGGCCCGAGCCTGAAGCGAACCCGAAATTTCATATTTTAATCAGGAGATCTCTGAATTGTCATTGCAAGAGTGTCGTGTTGATGAGGCAACTTATTTGCAGACCACGGTCTCTCGTGGCCAAAACGCCCCATTTAAAAAAAAAGTAGCGATAGAATAGCCAGACCCGGCTCGAATTTCGGGTTCGGGTTCCTACATCAAATTTCCGATTCACATTTTTTTGATTGGCATATTATAATGTATATTTAGTTACACAGGGGTTCTTAAGCCTTGGAAATGTTTATTGGGGTTCCTCTCCTCCATAAAGGTTGAAAAATCTTTGCTCTAGACAAGAAACACTCAGAAGAACTCGAAAGAGGTTCTGGTTGGCACTCAAATGAAGACATTATTTCCAATGTCAATTTTGATGTTTCCAAATTCCACAACCTGAGCATATGATGATACATGAGATAGGAAAGACCACTGGTCATGGTTGTCACATCTCCCTGTACTTGAAGCAATGGTTTAGTCACAAATTCGTTCTGGTGCAGTTTTCAAAATGAATATCGAACTGAATAGAACATTCATAAAAAAAAAGAAATACTAAGTTGAAATATTGCACATCTGTGACAGACTTAGCATTTTATACCAATTGGGGTTAGAGGTAAACAGATGAAATTGCTCTTGTCCCTGTAGGTGGAATTCTATAGCTAGTCTTACTTCTGGACAAAAGCAGTGAATTGTTTTTTATTTTATAGTTATTATCATACTGTGGAATGAAATTTTTATTTTTTCTAATTTCCTCGCTATTCAGATACCTTCACAATTAATTATGGTAAATGGTAGTTCAACCACAAGCTATATGGTCGAGTTGTCTTGTCCTAGTCCATAAGCATTAGATATAGTAAATACAAGTTCTTTGTGTATGTCAGGGGTGTGCAACCTGCAGCACACGTGCCAAATGCGGCCCACTGAAAAGTGCCATATTTGAATGACATGCGGCCCATGGAACGGGTTTTTATTTTTGTACTAATTTCAGTCCCTTTACGTTGCGAAGCAACCAGAGACCAATTTATTATCAATGCCTATGACGTTGCAATGCCCTAACAGCTGGCTTGTGCAAAGCGAACTACTCGAGTCATAGGATCATTAACCAAAATTTTTGTGCTTGCAACTACAAGAAAGACTACCGTATGTATATAAAGCTGCAGCCGCAGTTTCACCCAGTTATTTCTATCTGGCCCTAACGGTGGCGCACCCGGTACCGATATTTTAAATACATACTGGAATGGTATTTTTGAACATATTCCTAATGTTTAGTAAAGGACACGTTTCTTGGATATTTATTCGAATCAGATTGGACATTCCTGATACTCTATCCATGTTGGCTTATCCAGTAATAAAAAGGTTTAAATTTGTCATGTCAACTGAAAGCACATTTGCTGAATTATTATTAGTTTGAAGACAGAAATCTCCATACCAAACACTTGGTTATTTTATACACAACTGAGCGCTCCAGAAGTATGTGTACCAATATGGAGGTAACTAATTTTATTCGCTTACTTTACATCAAGTTGTGCAGATGGACTGTGGAGGTAACTAATTTTATTCGCTTACTTTACATCAAGTTGTGCAGATGGACTGAAACCTATGGGCAGGGGTATATTCACTTGGCTAACACAGACAGTCCCCGAACTCGTAATAGAACTAAAATAAGGAAAATTGGTTGAAATTATGGCCTGACCCTAACCTGGTGCACACACTACAGGAGTACTCACAATTGGACCCCATACCACTCATAGTGTAATAAATTGGTTACTAAGACTGGTTTAATACATTTGAAGTAAAAAAATTAGCCGTCCCCTATATTGAAACAATTTCAGCATGATAATCAATTTTGCAAGATCACACATTCTTTATATCAAATTGGTTCGAAAAACACTTTAATGCATATCAAATTATTTATAAAGTTGAAACATATAAAAAAATATTTTACTGGAATAATAACTCAGTGGTATTTCTGCGTCAGATCTTTTAATAGTTTGTAAATACAGTATTGGCTTGGTCGCATAAATTGTTATAAAAATATTAACACATTCGTTTATATTATTATTAAATTTGTTTTATATAAAATATAGAATACACTTGAGCACATAGCCAAATTAATTTTGATGTGCAAGAGAATACAAAGTCACAAATTTTCAAAAATAATTTTGCTGGAACTCTTGATTTGTATACTGTCAGATGCTTTATATTAGGTAATCCCGAAGTATGTAAACCAAGATGGCGGACACTGGAACATAGTTGTTTACTAAGGCCATAATTTTCCTTATTTTAGTATTACAAGTTGGGGGACTAGCCAAGTGACTCCCGTAGTAATTGTACCTGAAATTATGGCCTAACCCTAACCTGGTACACATACTACGTTCTGGTGTCGGCCATCTTGGTCCACATACTTCGGTAGTACCTTATATTATACAGAACTTGGCTTGGTTGCATGATTATAAAAATACTATTGGATATTGAATGGGATGTTGATATATATACAGCGGTGGTTGACAATTAGAAGCTCAGAATTGTATAGATCTATTTACAGCAGAAGCGAGGAACCTACGGAAAAATTATACAATATATCATAAAAGTAATATATTAAAATGCATAAGAAACAACATTGAAACTTAGATTAATAATATATTTAGTTGTGGATAGCAATTAGAACCCAGGGTAAAAATATTTGTACAGATAATCTATTCAGCGTAATTCATGAGCTCAATAACACAGGTTTGGGTTGGACATTTTTTAAATCAAACCATACTTGATTAATTAATTTTTGTTAAAGTACGAACCAATGGGCATTCAGGTATAACCTGTCACAAATTGTCAAAACACTTTTCAGATATCTTGACTAACTTAAAAATGCCAGTTTATTTAACATATTATAATTAATAAAGAATTAATGCGAATACATAGCGTTTTGCTGATTGATTCCACCAAATTAAATATATTGGCAATACAATCATCCTATTAGCGTTGTGTTCGGACTCGACTATGTTGGGATGTCTGATTAAATAACCCAAGTTCAATCATATGCCCGCTACCTCACCCAGAGTGTTGTAGACTGTGGAAAAAACAGGAATATTTAGAGAATTATCAAAAAAATGCCTCAAAAATATTAAACTATATGATAGCAGTCACTGATATCTAACAATATGTGAGGAGCAACTATTTATTTGAAAGTTTCAAAATCTTTTCTTTTCGCCTACTCAATCTAATAGACCATGGGAGAGGTGAGGGGGTGGAATTTAAACCTGCAATGTGTAATCAACGATGCCAGCGCAGTGCAGCGCAGTCTTAAGCTCCAGCCGCCTAGGGCATTTTACTTATTTGTCAATTTGCCTTACACAAATGGCACAAAATACAATTCTGAATATAAAATGTTGTTATGATATTTAGTTTCATTGTTCTTTATTTGTAATATTTGATCAAGAACATAATTTGCACAATGGCTGCAATGGTAATATTGTTTTGGCATTTGATGTAGATTTAATGAGGCAAGTTCAGTATCCTATGCAGGGAACAGTACAATCAGTGTTGTAGGAAATCTTTCTGGATCTCGTCAAATTCGGAACCGTGTGAAGAGAGACTGAGAAGAGGAAGAAAATTTTTACTGGAAGAAAAAGTGAAAATATAATTTTGATAAGAGGCAATAAGATAAAACTAGAATTTATTAATCTATACACTGACTATAATACGGCAGCGTATTCAGACATAATCTGTTGAAGTTATGTCAGTTATGACCTCGGTCAGACGAATTGTTACAGAAATATATTTGTGTTCGTGTGCAGCAAGACTCTTGAATTGAATAGAATAGCCATTTACACTCTTGCTACAGCATCCTTGCGTAACACGCATACGGATCCACCTATGCAAAAGCATAGATAGCAAGGAAAGGTAGTTAGTTTCGCGCAACCACAACTGTTAGTTATCTATGAAAAATAGTAGTCATTTACATATCATTGGATGCTTGCACAGAGCCTTGTATACAGGTAAAAACATGAAAATGTGGAATAAAGAAACTTTTATTCCTTTATTATTCAAATCACCATATCCTACACACTGTTTTGTCACCACTTCGATGAAGAAATGACAGAGCAACTGATTGAACTCAAAAGAACTGGGTGGATGTAAAAGTGGGACCTTGAACCTATATTGTCAATAAAAACTGCCCAGCAAATAGTGTGTCTCATCGAAGATTGCGCTTTTAAATTTGCATTCTAAAAGCTTCAAAATCATGTTATTGTGACATCTTATGTGACAGTAGAGCACTTTATGATGTCTTTAGGGCTGGGCTTTCCAAGTCGAATTATTAGAATTGGAGAAAATTTCATGTAAACAAGCAACCCTTTATCTACCTTTGATACCAATGCAAGTTCATTACTCAATTCAGTTTCAAGTGATGATTATCCAACTTGTTATTTCAGGAATTTAAGACTATTCATATGGATGCATGTTGAGGAAAGTAGACTCAGCAATAGTGAGTGTCAAATGAAGAATATTATCTCACCGGTATTGAATAATCACGCTCAAATCCTTTCACCCTCAATGCTTCTCTCAGTTTCATTGGATGGTTTGGATCTGGATATCCATTGCTGAAATAAAAAAGAATTCATGAACTCTGTTTGAGCCTGTTCCTAGAAAAATAATGGAAATTTGGCAAGTTTTCTGTTTAACAATAACAGATCCTGCCCGGAGAGTATTGAAATACAGAATTGGGTTCTAGGAATAAAAAAATTTTGGCGCTCCTGAAGCATGTGAACCAAGATGGTGGACACCGGAATGTGGTATGTGTACCAGGTTTAAGTAAGGCCATAATTTTATTGCAATTTTCCTTATTTTAGTTCTATTACGAGTTCAGGAACTAGCCACGTGACTCTGAAATTATAGCGTAACCCCAACCTGGTATACATACTATGTTCCCGTGTTCGCCATCTTGGTTCACATACTTTAGGGAGTACCAAGATTTCGTCCGAGCAATCAAGAAAAAGTCATGATGGGAATACAAACTTTGTGTTGACAAACATTTAACTTTACCATAAGCGGCCATTTTAGTTTCTGTTAAAATTTGAGGAATCTTAATGTATGTCAGAAATTTAGACTTTTGCTTCAAGAAGTCTGAAATTAAAAAAAATAATTAGGAAAATACGATTCTAGTTTTGAACTCGATACCAAAATTAACTTCGCTCCCTGCTCCCGTCACAGGTCATTACAATTTCAGATGAAATGAAAATCATACTAATTCATAAAGTCATAGCAAATAATCTACTGTACACGATTACAAGGCAGTTTTATTGACATAGTCGGTCAGAGTGAATTATAAGAAAACCATTGGTTTGCTAAGTCTCTGGTAGTTTTAAAACGTTAAATCACTATAAAAATCATTTTCATATAAAAAATGAGTTTAGTTTTCTTCTGAGTAAAGACAGACATAAAAGATGGAATGAATCTAAATAATTTAAAAAAAACTATTTTATCCACTATGGATTTTATGAATTGAAAATCGTGAAAAATAATCCCCAATATCAATATTGGCAAAAATTATTGAAATTTATTTCTTATAAATTTTATTTAGCTGTTAAAATTGGATTTTAGAGGAAATTTGTGTGTAGTGCATTACGCGAATTTTGAAAGTCGTTTTATTCCTTTCTATTTCCTAACATTTTATGAGGTAAATACCCATCAAGCATAAAACACACAAGGTACTTACTTCTCTGATCCTCCAGTTTTATTAGTCTTATGAGGAAACTCATCGTTCCAAACAATTTTTCCTTTTCTGTCATCAACTTCCTGAATCTTGAAAATCAATCCTGCATCGAATGCTTGTCTGAGTAAGTTGTCACATTCATCTCCATTACCATTCCATGGCAAATATTCAGTGAATTCTTGAGCTTCATATGAAACCCCCTGAAGAAACAAACATAACTAATCATCTCTCATACCCCTGGGGGTTTGTTAAACTGATATAAATATCAGAATATCTATGAAGGTTTAGCAGAAGTTAAAAATTTTCTAACAAAATACTTGGTGTTTCTAATAAATTAATTCAACTTGACAACCCAGCAACTTAATTTAACATTAAAATCAGAAATTATAAGGAAGCCCGCTAAATATTTAGCTTGTCGTGATTTTACTGCACCATTGAATCAAATTCTAAATTAAACATAGAAGAACTAAATTCTATGAACAAATTAAATTTAAACAAACCACGAGTTTAATATTACTCAAGTTTCAACAAGCATGATCTATATATGGCTATGTTATGATTTTACTGCACAAATGGCTTCTATATTCGAACTTTTTCTCAATAACAAACCTTTCAAAGCTTTGATTTCCATTAGAACTGAATTCAATCAGCATATCAGTTTAAATTAATTATAGATGGACAAATCATGAACCAGAGTCAACCCATATAAGCATTATACAACATACTGCCCGATTCTGTATATTTCTATGAGAAGCAATAACTCATGTGAGTGAATGCAACATTTAGCAATACTTCTTTCAAGCTTCTGGACTGTGCAATGACCTAACGCAGTGGTTACCAAAGGGTGTACCGCGGTGCACTAGTGTTACTCAACAATAGAGATGGACTGCTTGCTGCAATTTCCCATGCTGCAGTTTATTTATCTGTTGAGTTAATTTAGAGTTTCAAAATAAAATCAGGCAGAGAAAAGTTGACATTAGGCTTATATGTTATGCAATTATGTTTACAAACATAAAGTACACATTAATGAACACAATATTGAATTTTATTTAAATTTTTCCCATTAGTGCACCGTTAGCATTTTTTTCCTAATAATTCAGCGCCGCACAAACAAAAAGTTTTGGAACAGTTGGCCTAATGGTTGAAGTGTTGGCCGCAACTAAGCTGACATCACATATTGAACATCTCAGTTCAAATCCATGCCAACCACCTCACCCAGGATGAAATAAATTGGATAGGAAATGCAGAACCAGAAAATTCGAAATAATAATATCTCCTTAAATATCATTAGATATCAGTGTCTGATAGTTTAATTTCATTAAATATAAGATATGACAGAATTAACATATTTATCCTGGGGAGAGAAAAGCCTATAAGACGACTTAATCAAGTGGTGAACCACAGCCTCTCATCTGGTTACCAGTCTATAACACGTAAGAGATTGTTTAGCCAGTTATTCGTTTTCTGAAGCATGGACTTGATGATGGAGGAGGCTGTAACAGACCAGTGGTTACGTGAACCACCCTACTAAATATTTGTGGCTGCTTGTATAGGGCTTTGTTCCGAGCAAAAGACATGAACAAGCATCGCATAAAAAAGTAACATGACAGTACTATTATAAAGAATGTCTTTGCCATTATATCAAAATCACCATATTTGAAGCATTAATGAAATCAAAGGGTATGACAGAAAATTTTCTATTTTCCATCCACATTTTTTGTTCACATCGTGTTGTATTTAGTAAATTTTGACATATATAATGATTTTGCTTCTTGATTGACAATAAGATATATATTTGTGACCCCTCAATGAATCAAGAAATGAAATTCAAGAAATTCACAATAACAATAATTGTACCAAAGAATTCTAGGCAAACTATCATAGTCATAGTCAAGTTTATTTTTTCCATCCAGTAAAAAAAGTTAACATGCAAAATTAAGACGAATAAATATCAGGTTATGGGCATTCCTAAATATTACTTTTACCAAATTGTAATTTTCTATTTATTGCACTGGTATTTAATTCAGGAAAGAAATTTAAATCAATCGATGTTCGAATATGCTGATGTGCAACGGGGATTAATATTAAGAACAACAACCTTCTTGAATAAGAATCTTGATTCCAATAAATCTATAATTTATTTTTCAACCAACAATTAAATTTGTTTCATAACTCACCATCAGACTTCCAGCAGGAAATGAGTAGGTGATGACATAAGTCCTCCATCTTTCAAACCCTGGCAGTGATTCTCCCGACCTACTCCATCTCATCCCCCCACCAGATGGTTGTTCGTTGATGATTCTTAGACCAGAAGTAGTTTGACTTGAAGACTGAGATTCTGCACCTGGATAAAAATAAAATCAAAACTTGTAGCAAAAATAATGTCTGTTCCTGTTTAAGCAAAATTGCTTGTGATTAAGGGTTCAATGATATTTAAAAGGTGCCATGATATATAAAATAATTATAAAATAAATAAATGAAAATTATGGTACCTAGATGTAATTAAGCTATTGTGTGGTTAGATGAGTTTTGGGCAATACCATGGTCTAGTGCAGGGTTTCCCAAACCAGGGGTCGCGACCCCAAATGAGGTCGGAGTGATGAGTAGGTAGGATCGCAAACAGGTCATGGGGTCGCTGAGGTATGGTAGAGAATGTACAAATTATCTAAGATTTGACAAACCATGTTAAAGTTAGCAGTTTGTACCATGGCTTACATTAAACCAGGCCCATAGGCATCGCTCTATGCTTATGGTATGAAAAAATGTAGGTGCTTATTGTGACATCACTGTTTGGTTTTAGCTTATTCAACTCAATATCACCACAAGACGTTGACGTGGCCCCCTTCCGGCGCTTTTTTGCACTCGTGGCCCCCCTGTTCGCCATTCCAAAAAAACTAAACATGTTGGATTGTATTATATTTTTACGATCTTCTATGGAATGCGAAAGCAAACCACAGACAAGAAAGTAAAAGCTTTTTAGTATTCAATCAATAGGAACTCTTTTAAATATATAGCCAGACAAATGTCACTGTTAACATTGAACTCGGCAAATTGAACGAGAAGTGAATGAGATTTCTTACTAATTAGTGGGTAAGAATTGACAATGTCTTGTCAATTTAACTCGCATGACATCCAAGAAACCGATATCAACTTTTTTCACCTGAGAATGATTTTTGTCATGGTGGTTTTGGAGTTTAGATGGACGTAATGATTCATTGCTAATTACGGTTCCATTACATTTGAACCCGTAAACATTTCCACCTGCATACTATTATTGCACCTATGGATATTTGAACCCATACTAACGCTAACCTATGGATTTTAGCATCCGGATGTAGTCTGAACCTGCGGATATACGGATGCAAATGTATAGGTTCAAATGTGCTGTCACCCTAATTACACACTAGCAATGCAAGATTGCAAGCATTGCGCACATTTTCTCTCATCTCGATTTACCTTGGTCAAGCCAAATCCACAGTAACTGTCGTGCCATTTACGTATTTTGGGCATTGGGAATTTACAAATGGGTTTTGCGTCTATAATATGATAGCGTTGGTTATCTCGCAGTCTAGTGAAACTGCCCGTTTACAGGTTAGACGGCCTACCGGCAAACTATTTTGATTGGTAGATTCCAAGTTCCATTATGATCAAACAATTTCCTCACAAGAAAGTGAATACACCCTGCGATCGCAAATACCGCATGAACGAAGAATTTTATTTTAAAAGGAAAGTATGGAAAGTATGTCAATTTTTAGCCTTGTGTCGTGGCCCTCCTTGAGATAAATCGTGGCCCCCTTGGGGGGCCATCGACCCCCGGTTGAGAACCACTGCTCTAACGTTCCATTAAAAACATATATATATTTAAATGGGGATGCACACTGGACACTTGAAAGTTGTCTTTGGGGTCGTCCTGAAAAAAGCTTGGGAACCCCTGGTCTAATAGTTAACGCCCTTTGGGCTATGTCATGGTTTAGTGGTTCAATCGCTAGACTTAACTGTAGGCTTTACAGATTACACATCTCAGGTTCAAACCCTGTTTCCCCCTCATGTCAAAGTGTGTAATAAATTGGGCCGGCAATGCCTTACAGGGAAAATTCTTTTTTTTTAAATAAAGTGCCTTTTTAAATATCAATGGCTGCAAGAGTATCCTTTCATGTAAAGAAATGTATCAAAAAAATTTAATGTATCGAATTTCTGAGATTATGATGTAAAAAACAACACTGACATAGACAACTTCGAATATGTCATATGCATCAGACAAAATATTATAAAATTCACTGTCATCAGTAAATAGGAGTATTTGGCTGGTTAATATAATATTGAAAGCCTTTTTGTGGAGTGCATTAATAAACAGTGCAACTGCACTTGATTTAGAGCGGTGGTGGCCAAATTAGGGCCCGTAGGCCAGATCCGACCCGCAGAAGTGTTTCTTCTGGCACAAATCAGCACAGCAGCTTCTACGTGGGCGTATCCAGGACTTTTAAAAGGGGGGGTTTCAAAAAATCGGGATCAAAAATTCCCATGCAACGACTCTAAAACAAGTGCTGCGATTGCGACACTCTTTAAAATAGACTTTTTCAGTGGATTATGATTTTTCTGTTGCGCAAAATATTCAATCTGTGTCTGATACAGGCATTTAAAATGTCTTGCCATATTATTTTGATTATGTTCATTGTGTCGACTAAGATAAAATAAAAGCGCTACTACTCCAAAATACTAAGGTAATCTACGGACATGAAATATGCGATAAACTATTGACCGGATTATAAATAAATTGAATTCAGATTTTTGTGACCTTGGAATTTGTCACTATTCATTTGGCACTCATGATTGGCGGTGGTGAGCGTATTCCTAACGCTTAGCACAATGAGCCACACTGCCGCGCCAATAAAAACTATAGAGCAAAATCAATTGATTAATCAAACCAAAATGTTCTCGAGTATCATGCATATAAAGCAAACATCTTGGGTATTACCACAATATGTCATGTATGATTTAAGCTAGGCTTTGGGGTAAATATAAAACCTAGACTTTATTAGATAATAATTTCATATAAAAGTCTTGCAATAAACTTTGTTTCTGAGTTCAAAATTTGCTACTAAGGTGGAATATACTGTGTTCAACCAATTATCCAAATTCTTGATTGAAGAAATATTTGATATTTCGATATTAAAAACGAAAGAATCTGTACCTGGATAAATAAAACCAAAACCTGTAGCATAAAAAAAGTTTGTTCTTATTTAGGCAAAAATGCTTGTGATTGAGGGTTCAATGATATTTAAAGGTACCATGATATATAAAAAAAATTATAAATTAAAAGAATGAAAATTACAATATCTAGATGTAATTAGGCTATTGTCTTGTTATTTAATTTTTGAGCAATGCCATAGTCTAGTGCAGGGGTTCTCAAACTTTTGGTGTTGCGGAGCCCTTGAAAAGGTTGACTATTATTCACGGAGCCCCAAAATAAATGTTAAAATTGTTACTTTCAGATTAATATTCCTGAGCAAGTTAAACGTACTTTACTTAATTTAAATGCTGAACCTTTTTTAATAGGGTTAAGACAAGTCATAAATAAATCTCAATTTCAAAGATAAATTATATATACTCTTACTAAAGCTGTAAATTTGACACTTGACAAACATATCAAACTAGGGGTCGAATCTTTTCCCTTTTGACATTTTCGGAAGGCCGCTAATAACGTGCGCGATTGCATTTTGTCACAATCACCAATAGTTTTCGTCAGCATGGCATGTTTTTAAACATCTTTCCGCCGGTGTTTATTCTCCCTAAATCAAAAATTTTCTTTGGCATATACATGTATTGTTCCACAATGACGACGATAATTGCTTTTTTGTTCTCGTGGGGAATTATGAGTTTTATGTGAAAAACATGTTACCATCGGCGACGAAGTGCTAAAAATAATAATTAATAATAAAGAGGTAAATCCGCGACCCAAATTTCTTGATTGAAAAACGGCATTCTGAAATATTAAAACTTCAAATAAAAGATCACACTATATGTTTGGTTTTAGCAGACTCACGTCAGATTAAAAACGCTTTTATAGGCATTGTAAATCACAAAATTTGTATTATGTTAGGTTTTCTTCGGTTATTCATCGTATAGTAACTGCGAAATCGAAACACAGTCAATTGTGTGCGCGATTTATCTTTTTTTATTCTACCGACGGAGCCGCATGCATTAAAATAAATTTTATTCGTTCGTATTTTGCCCAGATCTTGTGAGTTTTTGAACGGCGATATCTTGCTTAATTATAATCTCAAGTGCAAAAGAACAAATCAAGTTTGACAAATTCCAATATCGCAAAAATACGACTCCAATTTATTTATAGTTGGCAGTTTATCACGTATTTTATGTTATTTTAGAATAGTATTCTCTCATTTCAGTAATCCTGATAGTAATCTCGAATGAAACGTGAGTAACTATGAGTACAATTGAAATATTACGACAAGACACTTTAACGGCCATGCATTGAATATTTTACGCAACAGAAATCTGGTTATCCGTTTTTTTATAATCGCAAAGAATGTTGCGCGGAAATTTCCGATTCAAATCCCCACCTCTTAAGAATCCTGGCTGCGCTCCAGCTTATAAATAATGTCATTTTTTAATTCCGCATCTTTGCCATTTTTCGAGGCTATATTGTTGTCAAATTTTATCAAAGCTGTTATTGCTTCTTTGAGCAGTTACAAAATTAGCCAAGTCACTATTGTGAAAAGTCATCGAATAGCTCGCGGAGCCCCTGGGTTTCACTCGCGGAGCCCTGGGGCTCCGTACGGAGCACTTTGAGAACCTATGGTCTAGTGCAGTGGTTCTTAAACTGAAGGGTGCAAGAAGCTCTCAGGGGAGCGCGAGAGGTCACAAGCCCATTTGAAATCAGCAATAAGTCGCAATGCAATCAGTGTGGTCACTCGAAAGACATTCGTGCAAGGTTGCAAACAATACCTTGTTTTTGTGGTTTAGCGTGATATTTGGCCATTTTCAGTCGTGTTCCAAAAATTAGTTGTAAGTAAGTAAATCACATAACATGCAGTAATAAAAAAATCATGCAACAAACGCTGCGATAGACTCGCCTAAAATTAGCTATTTAACACCTGTAAGCGGCACACAGTTAAATGTTTTGAATAAAAATAATAGTTTTGCTGATGTGAGCCAGTTTGAGGAAACACATTAAAGCGCATAAAACATATATTTATTGCGTTCAGTTTTAAATAAAATTCAGCTTGTATTTACGAAGTATTGCAAAATGACCAGAAAAGAAGAATGTATGATAACGATTATCTCAAGTATGGCTTTATTCATACGACAGTGAACGGTGAGGTTATACTCCAATGCGTTTTTATGCCTTTAAAAATTTGAGCAATTAAGTTATGAGACCAACTCGCTTACAGCGCCAACATTAAACAAAGTAACCTGCCAATTACAAAGGCATTTGACTTTTTTCAAAGCAAAAGGGGAGCACAAAGTTTGTAAGATTTGGGGGCGCGGCTCAAAAAATTTCCAACCAATGGTCTAATGGTTAAAGAGCTAGATTTAACTGTAGGATGACATGACAGATTACACATCACAGGTTCAAGCACTGTGTCATGTCAAAGTGTGTAAAAGATTGGGTAGGCAATGCCTTACAAGGAAAAATCTGGTCTTTAAAATGAAGTGCCGTTTTATATAACAAAATATATCAGTGGCTGCAAGTATATGGCCTTGTTTGTAAATTAATGTTTTATAAAAATATTTAATGTGTCAAATGTCTGAGGGTATGAAGTAAAAAAACACTACTGACATGGGTAACTTCAAATGTGCCTCCTAATGCACTTCAATACAAAAAGTTTTCAATATTTCCATATTTTTCGATTAATTAGCCACTGTTGCGTATACTCTGGGCCAATTGTTAGCCAAATGAGAGTTTTATGAAAGATATTCCAGATTCACATTGTAAAACCGCTGTTTCATAAAAAATGACAGGGAAAGTACGTCATCTTTGTTTTTCAGTATTTATAGTATAATAAACCTTTATGATAAATCTTTATTTTTATTACCATTAGCTGGTCTGGAACTGGCAGTGCCATAACCAGATGCCCCTCCAATGACAGAAGATCCTTCCTCATCATCCTTTGAAACTGGTAGAGCCAAAGGTTGCTCTGCCTTCGGCTTTTCTTCAGCTTTTAAAGATGCTCGTGAAAATAATTCATCGATAAGCGAATCATTGCATTTATCTGATTTTTTCACTAAGGGTTCAATTCGAACTGTCTCTTTTAGGAATTCGAGAGATAAATCTCCAAGTTTCAGCAAGCTAAACAGATCTTGGAAGATTTTTCTTCTGTTTTTGACATCATGTTTCACCCATTTCATCATCCCTCATATTTGATAGCCTCAGAAGAATACTTTGTTTCTGAAGATTTGAAAAGTCTCAGTATGTCATCCTTGCTGATATCAAGAAATTCCTTTTTCTT